TAACTCATATTTTGAGTTTTAGCAAATTAGTATAGATTTGAAATGTGATAATTTAATTTTTAGCAAATTAGGTCTATTTTAGCAGGAGCAAAAAGTACTTAAATTCATGCAGATCAGTTATGAGTTATATATGTGATGTTCGGGGTCCTAGAAAAATAGTTATTTTTTTAATTATTCCTAGTGCTCTGTACGGGTCAGATCAGACCCGGGTGATCGACCCGACTCGAATTTTGAATCGAATCGGGATTGATCATTTTAATGACTTGTAACCCGCATGACCCAACCCATCGGGTTAGGGTCGTACTGTTGTTTTGACCCAGATCAACCCGGATGACCCGGATGACGCAGGTTTTCCCCATCATTAAGCCACAAAATGTGAGTTTTCTTGTAAAAAACTTTATTAATGAATAAGAAATAATGTCTGAGACTATTGATATTGCTGAACTAACAAATCAACTCAGAAAAAATAAAGATGCAAATACGCATCAAGAAGTCATGTGTCTTAACTGTTCGTAAGTAAAAGTTTTCATTGTATTTAATTTAAAATATATATTTAATATTATTTCATAATTCTTTTTAAAACTCTAGAGTTAATAAGACTTGGTTACGGAAAATTGGTGACTCCAATACGTCCAAGGTTATCTGGCTATTACAGATAAATAAGCTTATTGTATGCAATTATTGATAATATTATTGAACAAGTGTTCCAGTAAAACGAATTTTTTCTGGTGGAGCTGATCTACTGGCAACAAAATGATGCAGCCTTAAAACACAAACTGTTCGTGCATGTATGAGTTTGGAATCTTGGTAAGTGTGAAAAATCAAAGAAATTTAAACTGAGTTTTATATTAATTAATAAATAAACATTATTACAATAAAAATTGTAAAATTTTTCGTAAAAAAATTGCGTAACTTGACGATTAATTTAGCTGATAATATAAATTCGAGTTTGACCCGGGTTATCCGGGTTAAACTATGATCGGGTCGAGTCAAGTTCGGGTTACACGGTTGATCGATACGAATTTTCAAGTCGAATCACATGAATATTCGAATCGAATTCAAATATCCCTTAAACCTGACCCAACCCGACCCGTTAGGAGCACTAAATATTCCAAAAAAGAATTTTTATTGTCAAGTGAAAGATTTTTATTTGTAGCTGCGAGACTTTTTCTGGAAGGTTGGTAATACTTATAGCTTTTTAAAATTATAAGGCAAAACCACTGGGATTATATTACAAGTATGTGGCGTATGCATTGCTTAACCATTAGTCTTTTACGTCTACGTATTAATTGAGAAGTGTGGCATTAGCATAGTTCCTTGATGATTTTATTAAAGAGAAAATAAAAATTAAAAAAAAAAATTTTAACCTATCAAATTAATAATTTATATAATGACGTCTTTCTTTTTGCGTAATGTTGATTTGCATGCATATCACAAATTTAGGTAGTACAATGTTGCTTTATGTACTGTAACATTCATTTTGGTTATACATTGCTATTTTAATCTGTATAACTTCACGCCGGTTTCAACCTTTTCTTTCTTTTTTTATTTTAAAAAATTAATAAACATATTTTTATAAAAGAATTTAAAGCCTTATAAAATATTTCATTATGTCATATAGTAAAAATAAATTAATTAATAGTGCACTTAGGCGATCATATGCATTAATAGATTACAATATTCATAATGATATACACAAACAACATGAATATAGAAAACAAATACTTCTTGATGATGAATCACTTACGGAAAATGAAAAATCTGAAACAATAATAATAATAACTAAAGCTTATGATTATCACAAACTTCTTTTTAATGAAGGAACAAAAAGAGTTTGTGAAAATTGTAACCAAGAATGTTTAGCTATAGCATATTGTGAATATTGTGTTCGAAATTATTTAAAAGCAAAAATTTCAAATTGGACATCAGGAAATGTTATTATTGATAATTTAATACAAGAATGTCAAATGAAAACATTGACACCAAATGCAATACCAGAATGGATTCCATATAATAATCTACAAAATATTGAATACCTAACAAAAGGTGGATTTTCAGAAATTTATACAGCAATCTGGATTGATGGTCGTTTTATTGAATGGGATTCTAAACAACAGCAATTAAAGAGATTTGGAAGTCATTATGTAGTACTTAAAAGATTAGAAAATGTTGAAAATGCAAACCAAAGTTGGATTGAAGAGGTTTGTAATTTAAATATTAAAAAGTTAATAAATAAATTTTTTGTTTAAAATTTTTTAATGGTTTATTTTATAGGCTAAATCACATTTAAATATAAGCAATAAATGGAGTGAAATTGTCCAATGTTTTGGATTAACACAAGATCCGTCAGATGGAAATTATATGCTTGTAATGAATAAATATGATATAGATTTAAGAAAATATTTACAACAAAATCGTAAACAACTTACATGGAAAGAAAGAATTCAAATTATTACTGATATAACACTTGCACTTCGAAGAATTCATGAAGAAAATGCAATTCATAGAGATTTGCATTCCGGAAACATATTATTTAAATTTACAACTAAATTTTCTATTAGTGATCTTGGATTTTGTGGACCTGCAGATAGGCCATCAAAAAGTATATATGGAAATCTTCCTTATATTGCACCAGAAGTTATTGCAGGAAAAGAAACTACTTTTAAATCTGATATTTATAGTATTGCAATGCTTATGTGGGAAGTTTCACCAGGACAACCACCATTTAATAATTATGAACATGATTATGATCTTGCAATGAATATTGTTAATGGTATAAGACCAAAAATTGTACCAGGAACTCCTTTAAAATATAAAAATTTGATGAAACAATGCTGGGATGCTGATCCATCAAAAAGACCTGATATTATTACACTTTATGATAAAATAAAAGAAATTAATTTATTTTATCAAAGTAAATCAAATGAATCATCAACTCAACTAGAAGAAAATAATAATTTTGAAATGGAAAATTATACTAACAGTAGCAAACTATTTACAAGTAAACTTCATCAATTTGATAATCTTCCTGAACCAAGAAATGCAACAGAAGGTATTTATAATTTATTGCTTTTTATTAATTGCTTATTAAGAGTGTATTAAATATTTAATTAGTAATGTCTATTTTTTTTTAATTTAAATATTATAATAGAAGAACAAGAAGGTATAAATTAAGCAAATTCTTATATAATTTTAATTTATAAAAATTAATGATAACATTGTTAATTTTTTTATAGCATTTCATAGTAATAAATCATATGATTTTCATATTCCTAATAATAGTAAGTGCAATTAAATTTATGTAAATATTATATAATGAAGCATTATTTATTGACTTATTTTGCTTTTTTTAGTTGATGATTTTGATAAATTTAGTAGTAAGAAAAATAGTACTTCAAAAATAAGTAGCTTATTTAAAGGTAATTAAATAATATATTTTATTTTAAAATAATCAAATGAACGAATAACTTATGTTTATGATTATCTAGTTAACAGCAAAAGGATATTCAGTACAAGTTCAAAAAATGGCAAGTAAAGTAATTAAAATTATGTTATTTTTATTATTATAATATTTTAATATTTAATTTTTTTTAGATACTCAAAATGATTATAAGATTGAATCAATGCGAAAGCGAATAAAGAAACTTCATATTAATGATAATGGTATGATAAACAATTATTTAAATTCTTAAAATAATTATTTTTTTGATTTTTAATTTTAGTTTATATTTGATAGATGATGAAGAAGCACATAACAATCCAAATCTTCATTCAGAAGAACAAGATGAATTGGAACTTCCTGACGGTAAGAATTTATTTTTAAAAGTTAAATTTTATTAACAAATTACAAAATTTAATAATATTTTTTTTATCTTAGATATTTAGGGTACACACATTATATTAAATAAACAACATTATTACGTCTGATTTTTTTTAATGGACTATTATTCATTAAGATAAGGTTAATTTTTCTTATCATAAATTTACTTAAACACTATCGTTAAAGAAATCTACTATAATTAAATCCATTTAAAAATGAAGTCTATCCTCTGAATATAAATAATTCGAAGACCAAAATCGTCCAAACTGAAGAGGTACTGGTGAAGGATTCTATACGGAATAATTTTGAGATCTAGTACGAGGGATATAACTTGATGAGTATTTTTTTTTTTCAAGATTCTTGTTTGTAATTTGTATTTTTTTTTTTTTTTTTTTATTATTATATTATGAAGTATCAAATATGTAGTATAAACGTATTTTTATAAAATAAATTAAGCATATTTTTAACATTTAAATTTTTATAAACATTTTACGCACGTACACACGGCAATAAAAATTAGAAAATTATATTTTGTATTATTTATGATATATGATTTACTAAAAAAAGCTAATCAATAATCATAGACCAAGACTCCGTTCGTTTGAGAAATTTAATTGCTAAGTCTGTATATGAACGATAGACTTATTGTTACCAGATTATTAAGTAAAACAGGTTTTCAATTCGATGCAGTGTATTTTAAAGTTTCAAATAATATTATTTTTATGAAGTTTAATATTTAGCTTGAAAAATTGAAAATTTGGAAATTTCTAAAAAATGGAAATTCATAGTATTTGCTATTTTGACATTATTAGTACATAAAAAATTATATATATATATATATTTTTTTAATTATTTTTTTTTTCAAAAAAGAATATAGTAGCAGATTTCAAAAAAGTATATATTTAAGACTACTAGTTATTTTTATGAGACAAAAAAAGTGGCGTAAACTTATGAAGAAATCATATTGCCAAATTTAGCTAATTGGCAATGTTTAACAAATTTCAAAATTTATAATATTGATATCTAATACTTAGAATACTACGTATGCAGCATCTCATCAAATTAGCGTTCAACGTTCTTTAATCTTTTGAGTATTATATTAAATTTCATTCATTATTAACTTCTACAGTACTGTATATATATCCAATCTGTGGAATAAATTTTTTTAGCGAACATTTAATAAATTATTATAAAATCTATTCAATTATCTTATAAGGAATAAGTGATTTCATTTGATTTTTGTATAGAATATCAACATCATTATTCCAAATAATAATTACGAATAGATTGTTCGAATTGTATTCTCATGATTTTGTCATTTTGATTATAGCCTATATTAATGAATTTTAATCTATATTAAATTACTATGTCTGATATTTACCTTAGAGGAAAGAATACCAGAAAATAGTATTGATTATACTAACCAAGAAATTCAATATACGGTTAGTTTGATGCCCAAATATTGGTTTAGACTTTTTCAGCATTTTTATAATATTACATACGCTTAAGCTTAAAGTTTATGCTTATTTCTAAATTCAGAATATGCTTTAAGCTTCAAGCTCTATGCATTTGATCCACAGCCAGCCCTCTTTACACGTGGTAGGCTAATATAGTATATATTGAAAAAAGTAATGAAAACACATAATACGTAATAAAATATAATCACTGAAATTACTATGAAAATAATGATTAACTTACGTAATAATTACCATTGCCTTTTTTTGAAAAAAATTCCACTAATATTCCTAATTAGAAATTAATGAAATTATGTAGAAAGAAGCGCATCTTTCATTGTTCTTTTTTTTTTTTCTGAAACCTTTTCTTTTTAAGGCTTATCTAAATTAAAACAATAATTTCAAAAATAATTATAACCTTTTTATCTCCATTTTCAAAAATGATGTACGCTAAAATATTCACCAAAAAAAAAATATTTTTTTAAATATTGCAAAAACTCGAGATTTCCCAGTGTTTTAAGAAAAAAAAAAAGATATAATAATATTGGGTATTTCAAGTTGAGAAATCAAAAAACTCCAGTTTTCAAGTTACTATTTTCTCAAAATTAAATTTTCTGGGTTTCAACTCCGTAATCATTTTTTTTTTTGATACACCCCTTGAATAATATAATACATCATCATCATTTTGAAACGGTTATAGACTATGATATTAGAAAACATTTACTACCCAATAAAAATAAATCTTTTACTTGAAAAGCCACAATTATATCAATATTATTATCATTAGGTAAAACAAAAAAAATATTTTCTTTTTAGTAAAAAAGTTTGATGTAATTTTCTTTTTAATAACAATAATAAAAAAATAGTATTAATAAATTTTTCATGGAAATAAATAATTTTATTTACTTGCCTAATTATTTTATAATAAAATCTCATTAATAGAGACAAACCTAATTTATATGAGATTTATAATAATAATTTTTATTATTCAGTATGATATAATGTTAATTGTTTTTTTATTTGTCTAATAGTGTACTCAATCTGCAGTCAAATTTTAACCATGTGATATTATGAACATGTGACACTTGTGATCATCGATAAATAGAAAATTTTGTAAATTTTATTCTTTTATGTGAAGGAGGTTGGAACCAATTAACATTAATTGATTAATTAACCAAATTAAAATGGTTAACTAGTTTAGAAGGTATCTTAAAAACTTATTAATTATTTAGTTAATATTTATGTTCACGAATTTCAATTTATAGCATTATTCATTTCAACTCCACTTAAAGAATTAGTAATCTTATCATTCCAAATTTGCGTAATCCTCATTTAAATTTATAGAATAATATGATTTGAAATGGTTATAATAAAAAAAACAAATAACCTATCATCATTTGTCTTATCATTAAAAGGGGATGAGATATCACTAAAATTAAGAATTAAAGTTTGCCACAAAACAAAAATATTCATCAAAATTGGATTACTGGATGCTGAGAAAATTGCATAACTCTAATTTTAACTTTTTAAAAATAGGCTAGATTCCAGATATCTATTATACAGGAGGTCATAGTGGACTTTTGGCCAAAATCACCCTTTTTTATAAATCATTTTTGGTATTATTTTAACATAGAAAAGTTTAAATATTTTAAATTACTTTGGAAAATACACGCTTATTTCAGTATATGAGCGATATATAACAAATATATACTATAGTCAAATACGCTAGACCAAAAGCGAATATCAAAATCCTAACATGATATATATGGGAAGTCGAATTTTTGAAAAAAAGGAATTATTTTATCAATTTTCGAAAAAAAATCATGACGACTCCATATTGTAAAAAAGCATTGTTACAAAGATAGTTAATTCAAATGTAACATTTTTTTTTTCACCAAAACAATAAAATCTCTATATAACCTTTTTTTGTATATCGCTGGATTTTTTTCTCCTTCCCATCCGATTCCCTGATTTGACTAGTAAAAGCCTTTTCTAAAACCAATTATAATCTTTTGGTGTAAAATAGTTCAAAATGTAACAGTTTATATTCAAGATTGTTCAGTTAATTAAAAGCACTCAACTTTTCTTTAGGATATAAAGATAATGAGTATTAAAATTATTTTTTTTTTTTGATATATCAATACAGTACATTATAATGTGACGTGTGATAAATGGTAATTTTTAATTATTTTCGAGCTTTTCTAACAATTTATCACCACTTACCTCTGAAAAAGTATCAAAAAATAAATGTTTGAAGTTGCAGACCACTTTTAACAGAAAGTAGAAATCGTAAAATCTTATTTTTCTTTGCTGTTATTGATATTTGAACAAATATTTAATGAGAATAGAAAGAAAAGACAATTAATAATCCTTAAAGCAACAGTTAGTAATCATCAGTTATCATCTTAAAACAAGTTGGTTGTGAAAAAGAAAATATCATTACAAAGAGTCGAGAAAATAGATGAATTTATAGATTATAAATATAACGTATTACGAATCTATAAAACTAAACTTTCATTAAAATTATTAAAATTATTAAATTTTAGAATAAACGAGAAATAACATTTCAACTCAAAATGTACAAGAACCTTTGTTCGTGTTATAGATTTAAAAAAGGAAGTTGTCTAAGATTGGTATTTGGTATATTAAAATTAACAAAAAAAATTTTTTTTTTTTTTAGATGTAATTTTATCAATTTTATAATAAACTCTTCAATTATTAGTAGTAAATTTATCTACTCAAGAATTCACTGATTGTTAAATTTACAAAAATAAATAAAATAAAAATACAAAATAATTGCTAAAGTTCGATCATCGCTTGTAAATAATAATGTAAGGCGCAAACTATAAAGAAATTACAAACTTAAAATTTTATTGCGACAATTATCAAAAAATAAATATTTCATTGGATTTCGTAAAATATAAATCAATGAATAGTATATGATTTGAATAATTTTATAAAGTAATTTATTGATACAGTAAGTTATAATATGAAAGAAAATAAATTATTTAAATTACAAACTAAGCATCTTTAATCTTACTACTCTAGTCTTAGTGTTTAAATAATTTATAAATGTAATAATGTAATACTAATGTCAATTAGTTTTCATCCATATCTAAATACGTTAGAAGGAATATTATTTTAAATAAAAAATGGAATTTTAGTAATTAAAAAATTTTTTGACTAAACAAACTTAATCTTTCAAAATACTTACTCTCGGGAAGTTCAAATTCATCTTGTTCTTCAGAATGAAAATTTGGATTATTATATATTTCTTCTTCATCTATAAAAATTTGGTAATATAAATTACTAAGCTAAATATCATTATTATAAAAGGTTAAATAATTATTTGCATAGTATACCATCAATATTAATACGATTTCTCTTCATTTGTTGCATTATTTCTTGAAAATCTAATAATTAAAGCAATATAGTGTTTAATATTATTAAGACAATTAGATAAATATAACAAATATACCAATTATTTACTTGCCATTTTCTAATCTTCCTTTGAATGATTTGTTACTGTTAGCTAAAAATTTAAAAATAATTAATGTAAATTCAAAACAAAAATAAATATTTTAAAAATAAATTACCCACTTATTTTTGAAGAATTATTATTCTGATTACTCAATTTACCAATGTCATCAACTAAAAAGCAAAATCAATTAATAAATATATATCGTACCATATTAATAATTAATATAAACTTAATAAATACTTACTATGATTAGGGATATGAAAGTCACATGATTTGTCACCGTGAAATGCTAATAAAAGGAGATAATCTATCATTAATTATTTATAAATAAAATTTATAAAAAAATTGCTTAATTTATACCCTGTTGCTCTTCTATATTAAAAAGGGAAAATATTATATTAGTTATTTAACTTTTTTATACTATTTATTAATATTATAATAAATACCTTCAGTTGCATTTCTTGGTTCAGGAAGATTTTCAAATTGATGAACCTTACTTGTAAATAACTTGCTACTGCTAGTATGATTTTCTAAGTTATTCATTTCCGATCTAGTATCATTTTCTTCTAATTTAGTTGATTCATTTGAGTTAGTATTTTGGTAATATAAATTAATTTCTCTTATTTTATCCAGAAGGGTTTTAACATCTGGTCTGTTTAGTGGATTAGCATCCCAACATTGTATCAATAGGTTTTTATATTCTATAGGAATTCCTGGTACAATTTTTGGTCTTATACCTTCAATTATTTTCATTGCAAGATAATAATCATGTTCATAATTAATAAATGGTGGTTGACCAGATGAAATCTCCCACATAAGCATTGCAATACTATAAATATCAGATTAAAAAGTAGTTTCTTTTCCTGCAATAACTTCTGGTGCAATATAAGGAAGATTTCCATATATACTTTTTAATGGTCTATCTGCAGGTCCACAAAATCCAAGATCACTTATATTAAATAATCCAGATTTGAATAATATATTTCCAGAGTGTAAATCTCTATGAATTGCATTTTCATTATGAATTCGTAAAAGTGCTAGAATTATATCAGTAGCAATTTGAATTCTCTCTTTCCATGTAAGTTGATTATGATTTTGTTGTAAATATTTTCTTAAATCTATATCTAATTTATTCATTACAAGCATATAATCTCCATTTAATGGATCTTGTGTCAAACCAAAACATTTAACAATCGCATCTGACCATTTATTACTTATATTTAAATGTGAGGTAACCTATAAAATAAAGAAAATATTATAAAACTTCAAATAAATGATTGTAACATTCTTAGATTACAAACCTCTTCAAACCAACGTTTATTTGCACTTTCAACATTTTCTAATCTTTTGAGTATTACATTATGGTTTCCAAATCTTTTTAATTGCTGTTCTTTAGAATCCCATTCATCATATCTTCCATGAATCATCTTTGCTGTATATATTTCAGAACATCCACCTTTTGTTAAATAATTAATATTTTTTAAATTACTATATGGAATCCATTCAACTATACCACCTGGTCTAATTGTTTTCATTTGACATTCTTGTATTAAATTATCAATGTCATCATTTTCAGATGTCCAATTTGAAAAATTTACTTTTAAATAATTTCGAACACAAAATTCACAATATAATGTAGCTAAACATTTTTGGTTACAATTTTCACAAACTCTTCTTGTTCCATTATTAAAAACAACTTTATTACTGTCATAAATTTTAGTCAATTCTCTTATTGCTTCAGATTTTCCATCTTTTGAAAGTGATTCATCAGCAAGAATTATTTGTTTTTGAAATTCATCTTGTTTGTGAATATTATTGTGAATATTAAAATCTGTTAGTGCATGTGCTCTATCAATCGCAGCATTAAATTTTTTCTAATAACAGACATAATAACATAAATATACTGTAAAATTTTTTAAAAAAATAAGTTTGAAGCAGAAAAAAAAAATATTTCTGGAACGGTCTCCGAAATTCTACTTATAAAGTTACATTCATAAACATTGTGTAACCAAATGCACTAAGTAATCCCTAAGAGTACAAACTAATTTAGTCCCGTTCTATAAAATGATCATTTCCGTTATCGGTCACATAATTTTTGATTATTTTTGCTTTTTTTTCTGAACATTTTACTAATCTATTTGTCCCAGAAAGTCACAAATATTTTAAAATATTTATTATAATAATCTCAGCTAATTTGCTAATAAAAGTTAGTCATTTTAAGTATGTAATACTTCAGTCTTTTTATGGTCCCGGTCTTCAAAACAATGACGTAACAATAAAAAGTCAAATGATAATGTAATTTAATAATTTTAAGGTGGATTCCATTAGTTGATATCATGTTTGACAAATCCTCGAAGAAAAAGGATGTTAACTGATCTGCGGAATTTAATGGAAATTGTTTGGTGAATAATGCTATCACGTGTGTGAAAAAGTATGAACGTACGAATCAAGGAATTATAATTAACTAAAAGCTCTTTGAGTATAGTCTATGATAGTATATAAAAATGGGTTTAATACTAGCTAAATAGTTTATTGTTTTTATTCTAATATCATTAGAATCACCTTAGTTAAAATTTATACAAAATAATTAATTTTTTTTTAGAAAATAAATATTAATAAAGATTATTTATCAATACTTTCGCAGATTTGAATACGGTAATAAATTTTGCCTAACTAAAATTAACGATGATTACATTTTTAATATTTATTGAATTTTTTTTAAAATATGGTATAAACAAAAAAAAAAATAAAATCATATTAATGTCCTAAACCCTTAAAACTTTTATGACTTTATTACACGTTAAAAACTTGAGAAAACAAAAAAAAAAAAAAAATATTCCCGGTATTAACTTTATTTAATATACAATTGGCACGAAATCATAATCTATCCCGTAAACCTTATTTGTTTTTATTTAATGAACGTATTTTTTTTATTTCGAAATAAAAGTTTCTTATCTTTTTATCGGTCGACATAAGAGGAATAAATGTCAACCTTTTATAAATCCAAATGCAACGGTTTCTTATTTTTAGTTTGAAAAGTTTATTACCTAAATATTACTAAACAATACAATAATCCACCAGTTTTACTGCAATTAGTTAATAATTTATTACAAAAGAAATGTTTTCTAAAGTGAATATACCAATGCGTTTTAATATCATTGTCTCTTTATGATATTAGACATAATTGTAAATTAGTTCGTTAGAATTTATGAGGTTGTTGGTGAGTAAACAAAGTTTACACTATAACTTGCAAAAACGCCTTTGAAGATAAAATAATGATTAAAAAGTATAATACCTATTTAATTATTTAGATTTTTCAAATAATTAACAAACAACGGAAGGGTATTAACAGTTAATAATGGTCTTTATGAAACTATAAAGGAGAAAATATAATCAGTCTAAATGATCTTTAGTTTCAGTAAGGAATTAATACTTTAAAGATTGTAAAGTGAACGAATTTTATATATATACTTATAATAAAATCATTAATTTTTTTACATTTAAATGTTTAATAAAAGCATAGAAACTTGTAGATATTTTAACCAAGCTTAATTTTTATAATAAATGTTTTTATATGTAATAAAATTTTATAGTGAATTTTATTAAATTTAAGGATATCATAAAAAGATGCTAGCTTTTATTATGAAGAATTAGTATTATCACTATTATCACGTGGCGGCCGTGGCGTAGTTATTTAAATCCACAGTGAAATTCGATATAACGGAACCATCCGTTCCAGTAAAAATATCCGGTATATCGAGGCTTCCGATATATCAATAAATTTCGATATACCGGATTTTATATATAAATCATATGAAATTCCGTTATATCAAGTTTTTATTTGTGCGACATGTGCGACGAACATTGAAAATTTTATTTGAGAAATTTTATACACTGAAATTAACTAAAACTTAAAAAAAATCATCTATCCGACCCTGTTTTTGCTTTTCTTACTTCACTATTAGACATATTTTCAATAAAAAAGTTCGTGATTAAAGTGTAAAAAAAAAATTTGTATGATCTGATTTATTTTTAGGGGTATCACACAAATTAAATATTTCCAAATAAACAATCTTATTTAGGAAATTCTATTTATATTACATCCTTATAAAGTGATAAAGATTCTTCAATATTTTCAACTAGTCAATATATTCATCTGAGTCTTCAAAGCTTGCGTATTCCACTAAAGGTCATCACGCTGCTAATTTTATTGGTTTAAAACCGTGAATCGTCACGTGTTCTGGTAAATCGAATCATTTTTAATATTGTTCCGTTATTCCGTTATAGCCATTATCGAGAATTTACTAATAAATTCCGTTATATCAAATTTATTTTAATATATGTGATTTGGTTCCGGAAAAAAGTTCCGGTATAAGGCCAGTTCCGGTTTATTGAGGTTCCATTATATCGAATTTCACTGTGTAATTTCCGAGTTTATATTCTTTTTTTTGCGATTATTATATCCAGTACATGAAGCTATCACATTATGACAAAGTTAGGCTATTTTGTAATTCATTTATAGTAGTGAAGTAAAGTTTTGAAAAATATTTTTCTAATTACTGTATTACAAAGAAAAATAACACTACGTACTCGTACTTTTGAAAAGACCTCGCATACTTACATTATATAACGACCTATTATACAAGAGTGAATGTCTGATTCAACGATAAGGTTATATTTCATTATTATTATCAATTCAGTTTTACAAATTAATAATGCTGTGCGTCTTTAATATATATTAGTTAACATGTAATCATTATTGCTTTTTTGTAACTATTACATTTGATATGTTTTGATCAATTTTATTTATTAAACATAATATGAGTTATAAAAATAGATTTAAAATGTTAACAAGTTTAAACAAATAAATAAAATTTATTTAAAATATAAACTAAAAAAAAATAAAAGTAAATAACAAAGTAAAATTCTCTAAAATTTAATTTAATAAAAAATATAATATCCGAAATATAATAATTAACCAGTAATAGTGCCTAGAGCACAACTCAACATAGTTTTATTCTCATCCGTAACTGCAATCACAATAGAGTATGTTGCAGGTAAACCAGCATCTATTGTAATCGTTCTTGTTATGCTGAAAGATGTAGTTGGACACGTGGCTCCCGCAGTACAAATATCGATAATAGTTGCCTGGTTAAGTACTTTGTTAGCACCATCAACTAAGGATATCAATAAAGTAGTACCTGGGTTAATACCACTATCTATGGTTCCGGTAACAGTAAAAGTACAATCTTGTCCAAGAACGGGAGGATCAGGTTGAATCGATACAGTAATTGGAAACTGAGATCCAGTAGGACATTGTTCAAACGTAGTAGCTCTTTTATCGAATTGATAGTATGGAATAGCATTGACCATTGAAAGCGTAACCAATAAAATGACAACAAAAATAAGATTTTGCTTCATGATTTCTTTGATGAATGTGATTATCGATGAGTGATTTTGAAGATATTAGTGATATTAGTTAAGTTGATTGTAAATTATTGTAATTATTCGTTATCAGAGTGAGTTGAAATTTCTGCTTTTTTATAAGAAAAAAAAAATAAAAGTTTGTGAACCATCTTTCTCCTTAAAATAGTATTCATTCTCTTTTTAAAAAATTTCATTGACGTGAAAAAACATTCGGGAACGCCATGGTATAACGCGCAACAAATGAATATTCAAGAAAAAAAAAATGCATTTGCTTGATTTACTATTAAGGCGCTTAATAGATATGACATGAAAAATTTTTAATTTCCACAATACTTAATATTGTATGAACTTAAAAGAGAAATAGGAAAATAAATCGTAATATGCAGAAAATGGTTGGATCATTTAAGATAATTCCGACTTCTCCGATTTTGAAAAAAAAAATTGCTTTCTCGTGTACAAAGAAATAAAATGCAGATTTACTTTCTATGGTTCCGCAAAATTTTGATTGAACCATCGGAGTATCGGAGACTAATTAAAATTTGTTCCTAAAAAATTTTTTTTACTATACATGGAATTTCATTGAAATTTGTAGCTTTTTGACATTTATAATTAATTCAATCAAAATTTGAACATTATGTTATGCATGTAAGATATCTTATGCGTTGATTTTTTTTTTCTTTTAAAAAAAAAGAATAAAGGCGCTCTCGACAAATTGATCGGCAACAATCACTCGAAATCGTGTTACTGTAAAATAAACGCCTTATTATATTAAAAGAGCCTTATCCATATGCAGTACACTTCTAAAAAGAATTTATTTCTTTATTCCAGATATAGTATCTTATTGATAAATCAATTTTGGAAATATATAACTTAATTAGGATCAAGATCAACGACCAGTATTTAAATCACGTGATTCACGTGATATGAATTTTAAGTTTTTTGGTTTTTTTACTCATGTACACATTAATATTAGCACTAGACGTCAATTAAAAACTAATGATTTTTTAATTTGGAAACTTATATTTTTACTTATCCAGCAAAACATCCTCATTATATCTTTATACAAAGTCAAAGCACATGCCAACGACAAACACGATGAATCTGACCAACTTGATGTTTAACCACAGAACCACTTATCATTAACAGTAAATATTTCGGAGCTAGCTCCTTAGGTTTCATACAGTGGGACAACTCATACATTATCGACAGAAACGTCAGAAAATGGAGTAATACCCCTCTTCAGGCACGACTTTTTAACAGTTTATTAAACAACAAATCCTTAAATCAACTCCACGACTTCACCAAAGATAAACAATAGACTGGTTCTTCAGCACATTATGGTTAAACCACAACCCATACGATTCACCTACAAGCGAACGCCTATCCAAACATCAAGGATCCAAAATTAAAAAATCGAACTTTATTCTTCCGACAACTGATATTTTACGTAGGAATTACCTGAAACTTTATCCTTCGCAACCCATTTTATGTCAAGAATGTAAAATTTCACTCGACACCAACGATCATGTAACCCTCTGCCCCGCGCATAGACAAGATATTATACAAGTTTTATTGAAACATAAAGAAATTTTAAAAACCCTCTTAATAAACAACAATGACAGCTCATTCCAATCGGATATACCTAATCGAGTCGATAATTCACCGCTATTCAAGAATATCAATGAGGTGTCTAACGCTCGACCGACGTTCGATCACGACCACCCAGTATTTCTACATCATACCGACGGAGCTATCCTTTTTATTCTACAATTATTTGGGCAAACAAAAATTACGTACGAAGATTTTTCTTCGCTTCATCAACCCTTTTATCAAAGACCTACAAGAAGCGACATGGCAGAAACGCCAGACTTCATTCAATAATTGGGAAAAAAAGTATGACCATCACCAAAGAAAAAATTGAACTACCGGTCTCGCTATCAAATTTCCACTAGACGTTCTAGTAAAAGGAAACGAACGGAAGAAGCAATTGGAGTATCCACACCGACGCAATCAACACTACCATATACTAGGAAACGGGAACCGTTGTAAGTCCGGAACGAAAAACTAAAATTTGCCGATTTCATTGGTGACGATCACGTGGCGGACAGAGAAACTCACGTGATCGATTTTTTTTTTCATAGTGCGTAGACATACAGTATATTGTCCTTCGCTTCGCTCCGGACAATAAAGAAAGGATATTTCCCTCCGGCCTATATCAAAGACCACGATAACTACTTCGATACGCAGACCCGTATTAGATGGACTCGTCTAACTTTTTGCATTCGGGTAGTTGGTTCTCATATAGAGATTCATTATTGTTTGATGATCATAACATACCGTAATCGATTCTTTTTCTTACAATGGGATTTTATCAAATTTTACTTTATTTTAATTTTAATTTTATATAGTTTATAATAGGGCTTTTCCTGGAATAATTTTCTTTTTTTCTTCTTTTTATTTTTAGGTTTTATTTATATTTTCTTTTTTTTCGTTTTTTTTTTCTTTGGTTCGAATGCCGCCTTTAGATTCTGGTAGGGTTTACTGGCACTTTTACTTTTTTTTTTATCCGATTTGAAGCAGTGTTGGCAAATTTTGAGGTCATTTCACTTTTTTGAAATGACCTTAGGTCATTTTGTATATGATCACGTGATATATTCATAGTAAAATCATGACGTAATCAGGTCATTTAAAGGTCATTTCAAGGTCATTTGCCAACACTGATTTGAAGTGGTCTTAGAACGACGTTTGTTCAGTTTATACTTGTACGTGTATAGTTTTCATGTAGTCATTAATGATGCTGTTTTTACTCGGAAATATAAAAATAAATATAAATATAAGAGTGAATTTATTTACCGCACCCTGCGTTACAACGCATCCTTCCTTTTTTGTAAATTGTTTATGTCGATCTTTAGTTTATACACCGCACCCCCCCATAAAATGGCAAATGATAAACATAAAAATATATATAAATTTGTAACGCAGGGTGCGGTAAATACATTATTTCTAAATATAAATATAAATATACACATTAATAAAACTACCTACAAGGCTACAACCAAATCATATTTCATACCGTCTTTAATACCATTAATATATTTTGAAATAAATTATTAATTTTTACAATAATAACGACACAGATATTCAAAATTCGATTTAATTGCAGAAATCCCGACAGAGATTACGACAAATTCGATTGACTAATAAACATGAATATAAAGTAACATCAAAAAATTTCAATAAAGGTCAGGTTTGAGTTTGCGTATTTTTAACTAAAAAATCATGAAAATCTTTCCTTTTTTAGATAATTTTGATAATTCCAGTCCGAATTATATTTCCTATTATAGTAACCGACTAACATTATAATAATTCCGGCCCTGAAAAAATGCGTACAGCTTCATTGTAAAAAATTTTTTTCATCACCTGACCCTATATATTTCTGAAATATTATTTAAAATATTTTTNTTATTTCTAAGGAAAAAAAATCGTATAAAAACTTTATAAAAAACGTATCCAATTTTTTTATAGGGGTAATATCTTATTTAAGTACATCACGAAGCTTTTCAAGGTCATTAATTCTGTTGGCAGTATTTAAAAATCCTCCATAATTATCTTCCCAAATACTATAATATTTTTTATATCATTTATCCATTCATTTGGATGAACATTTCCATCATATTTGGAAAATAATTCATGGTAAGTGAAATATTATTTCTTCAAGAAAGAAACTATATTCCGCTTAAAGAATTTTTTGGCCATTTATGTACAGTAAATTGATCAATTGATCATGTATCCTTTTGAATTAGTGCGATCAGATGATTTGTTGATCAATAATAAAAAAAAATGATTATTTCTATAGTGATTTACTATAGCAAAAACGTATAAGTGATTATTCAACTTGGCGAAACAAATCAATAGTAGTTATTTCAATTTCAAATGAAATAACATTAATGAAGTTATTCAATTTTTCAATCATCTTTAAACATCTGGCCCAACTGGGCTACCCAATCTGAATATCTGATACAATCTGGATATATATAATAACTTAATTCCAACTCTTTTAACAATACTAATTCATTATTAAAATAAATTCTAGTATTATTCATTTTTATAATACTATTATTAACAGGACATGGATTTATGGACTTATTAGTAATCTTAAATTAATAATAAATTTGAATGTTACAAAAGCTTAACATTAAGTACCATTAATTGTACGTTATTGTACGGGCGTGCTTAATAATAGTATGATGTGGCGCAAATAACAATATTATTATCCGGACCAGAATGACCATAGCCTTATACAGTCAAACCTTGATATAGCAAACCCTTGATATAGTGAATTTTTCAGACAACTATAATAAATTTCCCCTCGCTATAACAAATTAACCAATCAAATCTCTTAAATTCTTCGCTATAACCTTATAGCGAAGTTGAAGTCTGGAGTCTGGACCCTAGGGTTCGTTATAACAAGGGTTGACTGTATTAAATAATATTAGATTTAAATTTTACAATACATTATAAATTTACCGGTGGATATACGTATCCACCCATCATATAACACGTGACTTTAAATAAATTGATTATCATCATATTACACGAATCTTGAATCTTGTGTATCTGATGTCATGATTTAAATAAATTAAACTATTTTTTACTATTTTTTTACTATTTTTTTACAAATTTCATTCTCACGCTCTTTATCTCTCTTTTTTTCATTCGTTTAACCCTTTTTCTTTCTTTTTTTTCGTTCATTTGACATTTTCTTAACTGTTTAATTTTCAAATACTCCTTTTACCCATTAATTACAAAACTTGTCATATGTTAGACCTAGAATGTTTAAAGTTAAGTAAACATAATTTCATATATGAATTAGGGTTGGGTTAGATTAGGGTTAGGGTTAGTTAGGGTTAGGGTTAGGATTAGGGTTAGTTAGGTTAGGGTAAGGGTTAGGGTAAGGGTATAGGTTAGAAAATAGTTTAGGAAAAAGAGAGTATCGGGGCTTAGCTTCTAGTTTTGATTTTTTTTTATTTAAATAGATACTAATACTTTAACTTGTTGATTTAGATGGCTTTAAATCTAGCAATTGCAAGTAATTCTCACCAAGTTTTTGAAAATCTTTTACAACAGTTTATTGAGCAACAAACACTATCACTTTCAGCACAAGATGATGATTTAACTGAAAAATTTTTAGGTATTTCAAATCCAATTCAACACAAAGGCAAAGGCCGACCTGCAAATAAGAGATATTTGTCAGCTATTGAAAATCGTTCTAATAGAAATGCAAATTCAAGAAATCAAGATCAGGACGAAGTTTCGGAAGGATCAAGAAAGAAAAACAAGCGGCAATGTGCTCTATGTAAGTCATGGTATCATGACTCAAGAAATTGCCCTTCAAAAAATAAAGAACAAGATAAAGAAAATATTTAGATAGTTTTATTTGTTATTTAATCAGCATATGCGTTATATTTTAATTTAATAAAATAAAGTTGTTTACGGCAAATCGAAATCACATGAATAAATCACGTGAATATATAGGGAGGATATGTATATCCTCCCGTATTAAGTAAAAATTTTCTTTATTTAATTATACAATATTGGAATTTTTAATATTAACTTATTATCGTTATCTAGTTTTTGAAAGTTGATATATAGGGAAAAATCTTATGATAGATATTATACCGATATTGCCAAATCATAATTATATAATTTGATTGATGTCGGTCATGTGTACATGTGTAGTGTCCCTGAGCGCTAATACAGTTCCGGTTAATGAAATTTTAATCGGTTAACGAAAAAAAGCTTAATTTATCTTATTAATTTTGTTTCATTTTCAGCCATTCCCATCCTAGTTGATTTTTTTCGGTCACTTTTTTAGACCGGATTATTTCTTTTTATAATTTTTTTTTTCGGTCTTTTTTAGACCGGACCTTAATTTTTTTTTGACTTCTTTTTGTTTTTGTTAGGCGGATCTTTTTTTTTTGACTATTATTTTCTTTTTGTTAGGAACTTTTTTAATATTATTCTTTTTCAGTTTTTTTAAAACTGAGATTTTAATAATTTTCTTTCCAATTTTTTTTAAAACCGAATTTTTAATATTTTTCATCCCGGTTTTTTTTGTCTTTAGACGGATTTTCCAAATTCCGTGTGTGTGGTATTGAAATCTTACTAAGAAATTTCTGGAAATTATCCGCTTTTACTACATCAGCAAATTTTTTGAATAGGAATACTTTTATTTTATTTTATTTATTTTTATTTTTTTTTTTTTTTTTTTTTTTTTTGAAAAAAAAAAGCCTATTTATAAAAGGCCGATCATTTTTTTCAACCTTATATTAAACGTCCCGTAATTTTTTTGTTAAATTAAATTATGTTAAACTTAATTAAATGTAAATATGTTAAAAGTTTTCATAAGCTGTTGAAATTAAATATATCAGTGGGCACGATAATTTAAGAAAATAACAGATATTCCAAAGAAATTTTTAAAGGTAATAAGACATAAATTTTTCTCCAGTTGTCATCTTAAAACAAGTTGGTTGTGAAAATATCATAACAAAAACAAAAATAAAAATTCTAAATTAAAAAAATTGCTAAAGTTCGCCAATATTTTGTCATCGCTTGTAAATAATAATGTGAGGTGTAAAATATAAAAGAAATTACAAACTTACAAAAAATAAATATTTCATTGATTTTTGTAACTTGAGAATATAGTATATGATTTGAATAATTTCATAAAGTAATTTATTGATAAGTAATAATATGAAAAAAAATAAATTATTTAAATTACAAACTAAGAATCTTTAAAGATGTTTAATCTTACTACTCTAGACTTAGTGTTTAAATAATTTATGACAAACTTTAAATATAATAATATAATGTTGATGTCAATTAGTTTTCATCCATATCTAAATATGATAGAAGGAATATCATTTTAAATAAAAAATGGAATTTTAGTAATTAAAAATTTTTTTATGATTAAACAAACTTAAACTTTTAAAATACTTACTCTCGGGAAGTTCAAATTCATCTTGTTCTTCAGGATGAAAATTTGGATTATTATACATATCTTCTTCATCTATAAATAAAAAATTAAATATAAAATTAAGTTAAATATAACTATTATAAAAGGTTAAATAATTATTTGCATATATGATATACCATCAATATTAATACGATTTCTCTTCATTTGTTGCATTATTTCTTGAAAATCTAAAAATTAAGACAAAAATAGCGTTTAATATTAAACAATTAGACGAATATACAAATTATTTTACTTGCCATTTTCTAATCTTCTTTTGAATGATTTGTTACTGCTAGCTAAAATTTTAAAAAATAATTAATACAAATTCATAATAAAAATAAGGGTTTTGTTTTTTATCGCCATGGCGATGCATCGCCAGTGTCACGTGATTTTATAATTCCGGCCGGAATTAAAAGATCGTCAAAGAAATTTCCTTTTTTGGAAGTTTTTGTGTAACAAAAACTTGAATTTTGCTGAAAAATAAAATTGCCTTTTTTGGATTGTGAAACGTTACCTAAAGCTCCAAAAAAGGATATTTTGGCCAGCGTTATAAAATTTGGCCGAAATTAAGCACGTGATGTATAGGGAGTGACAAATAGTATTTTTTGCACTGAAAAAATTCAAGTCCCCAGAATAAATAATAAAAATGGAAAACTAGAGGATGTGACGCGGGGTGACAAATTATTCACATATGTAAAGTCACGTGACACTTGCGACACATCGCTATGGCGATTTTTTATAAAATCCTAAAAATAAATATTAAAATAAAAATAACCTACTTATTTTTGAAGAATTATTATTCTGATTACTCAAATTACCAAAATCATCAACTAAAAAGCAAAATCAATTAATAAATATCTTATACCGTATTAATGATTAATATAAACTTAATAAATATTTACTATGATTAGGGATATGAAAGTCACATGATTTGTTACTATGAAATGCTAATAAATGGAGATAATTTATCAATTAATAATTTATTTATAAATAAAATTTATAAATAAAAATGATAAAATTGCTTAATTTATACCCTGTTGTTCTTCTATAAAATTAAAAAGGGAATATTATATTAGTTAGTATTAAACTTTTTTCTTTTAATGTATTTAATATTATAATAAATACCTTCTGTTGCATTTCTTGGTTCAGAAAGATTTTCAAATTGATGAACTTTACTTGTAAATAACTTGCTATTGCTAGTATAATTTTCTAAACTATTCGTTTCCGATCTATCATTTTCTTCTAATTTAGTTGATTCATTTGAGTTATTTTGATAATGAAAATTAAGTTTGTCAATTTCATCTAAAAGTGTATTAATATCAGGTCTTTTTGATGGGCTAGCATCCCAGCATTGTATCATTAAGTTTTTATATTCTATAGGAGTTCCTGGTACAATTTTTGGTCTTATACCTTTAATTATATTCATTGCAAGATAATAATCATGTTAATAAAAAAAAAATGGTGGTTGACCAGATGAAATATCCCACATAAGCATTGCAATACTATAAATATCAGATTTAAAAGTAGTTTCTTTTCCTGCAATAACTTCTGGTGCAATATAAGGTAGATTTCCATATATACTTTTTGATGGTCTATCTGCAGGTCCACAAAATCCAAGATCACTAATACTAAATTTAGTTTTAAATAATATATTTCCAGAATGCAAATCTCTATGAATTGCATTTTCACCATGAATTCGTAAAAGTGCATCAATTATATCAACAGCAATTTGAATTCTTTCTTGCCACGTAAGTTTAGTATGATTTTGTTGTAAATATTTTCTTAAATCTATATCCAATTTATTCATTACAAGCATATAATCTCCATTTAATGGATCTTGCGTCAAACCATAACATTGAACAATCACATCTGACCATTTATTACTTATATTTAAATGTGAAATAGCCTATAAAATAAAGAAAATATTATAAAAGCTTATAAATAAATAATTGTAACATTATTAGATCATTACAAACCTCTTCAAACCAACGTTTATTTGCACTTTCAAAATTTTCTAATCTTTTAAGTATCACAACTTGTTCCCCAAGTCTTTTTAATTGTTGTTCTTTAGAATCCCATTCATCATATTTTCCATGAATCCACTCTGCTGTATAGATTTCAGAGTATCCACCTTTTGCTAAATAATTAATATTTATTAAATTACTATATGGAATCCATTCAATTATACTATCTGGGTCAGTTGTTTCCATTTGACATTCTTGTATTAAATTATCAATATCTTCATTTCCAGATGACCAATTTGAAAATTTTGCTTTTAGATAATTTCGAACACAAAATTCGCAATATAATGTAGCTAAACATTTTTGGTTACAATTTTCACAAACTCTTCTTGTTCCTTCATTAAAAATAATTTTATTCCTGTCGTAAGTTTTAGTCAATTTTCTTATTGCTTCAGATTTTTCATCTTGTGTAAGTGATTCATCGGCAAGAATTACTTGTTTTTGAAATTTATTTACTTCGTGTAAATCATTGTAAATATTATAATCTGTTAGTGCATATGCTTTATTAATTGCAGCAACAATTAAATTTTCTCTAATAATAGACATAATGAAAAAAATATATTGTAAATTTTTTTTTAAAAAATAAGTTTGCAGAAAAAAAAATATATTTCTGGAACTCCGAAATTCTACTTATAAAGAAGTTACATTTTGTAACCCAATGATTCATTAAGTAAACTAATTTAGTAAATTGTAAATCTTTTTACCAAATAAGGGTTATCATTTCCGTTATCAGTTACAATGATTTTTAAACATTTTACTAATCCTATTTGTCCAATATTTATTGTAATATTTCCCAGCTAATTTGCTAGTCTTTTTAAGTACTATGTAATACTTCAGTCTTTTTATGTCCAGATCTTCAAAACAATGACGTAACAAATTTAATAATTTTAACGTTAAAATGGATTACATTATAAAAATGTCGTTTTATTGACAAATGTTTAACTGATCTGCGGAATTCAAACGAAATGATTTGGTGAACAATGCTATCACGTGTGAAAAGTATAAACGTACGAAAATTTATGAATCAAGAGAAATAAATTATGGTTAACTTAAAGATCCTTTTGAGTAGAATTTAATGATAGTATTTTATAAAATGAGATTAAACCCAGCTAAATAATTTATTAATATTTTATTTTCCAAAATAAATAAAATATATATAAATATTTTGTAATATTTAACTGTGATTTTAATGACATTAGAATAAAAATAATAAAAATTATTATTATTACTCTTGCAGATTTTGAATACGGTAATAAATTTTGCCTAACTAAAATCATCAATAGTTATTACTTGAATTTTTTAAAATACGGTGTAAACAAAAAAAAAATAAAATAAAATCGTAAAGTTTTTTACCTAATGTTCCAAACCCTCAAACTCTTATAACTTTATCTTACGTTAAAAACTTTTAGAAAACAAAATAATAGTTACGGTATTAACTTTATTTAATATGCAAATAGCACGAAATTATAATCTATGCCGTAAACCCATTAGAATCTTAAAACCCATTTTATTTCGCATTGATGAACGTATTTTTTTTATTTCAACGAAGAGGTTCCTTCTCTTTTTATATATATATATTATCTAAATCCTACTAAAAATACAAAGAAAAAAAGAGGATATAAAAATCTCATGATATAATTATAATTATACTTTAATTATAATGAATGACTAAAACAAATTTAGAACCTTTTTCGTTGCTAAAATAAGTTCTCAATGCGTCAGAGTTTAGAATATTTTAGTTCGTATTATTATTTTTCTAAGAAATTAAGCAAATCGGAAAGGGTGATGATTAAGGACTAAATTATTAATTTTTTCATTAGTTACAGTAATAATTATTATATTGAACTCTACATTTTATCTAATTACAAGCAAATGAATAAATTCAAAGTATTTAAATCTTTTGCTAAATTATTAATAATATCACGATATCTATTCATATTATAAAAATGTAAATATAATATCATTAATATGTAATAAACATATTAAAAGTAACAATTAAATACAATGTAAATATATTTTTTTTTTACATAAAATAAAAATTTTTTTCGCTAGATTTAATTATTTGGTTAACGAATTGGAGATTTACATTCTTTAACTTTATATTCTTTAACTTTATATTACAATAATCTTTTAAAAAATATTTTTTAATTGTTATTGAAAATATTGTTGCATGAGTATAATTTCTTTCGTCCAAAACGATGATGATTATTAAGATTCAATATATGACACATATCGATTATCAAATTATATAACGAGTGATAATAAAAAGGAAAGATATTAGATACTGTATTATGCAAGTATTTAATATAATGTAAAATTTAAAATATTTGGGAACTATATATGACAAAAATTTTTTTATTGATGAAGAAAATATTAATAAGGAAAACTATTTATCGCAAGAATTGTCACGTTCATTTTATACGAAATCGCATCGAAAAACTGTATCTTTTCGATATAGCTATGTGCTTTAGTTTATTAAAAGTAAATTATAATTAAAAATACGTAAAATTTCTTAAAATAAGATTGTAACTGATGAGAATGAATATTCTGCGGAGTTTCACAAGATTTCATTTCAAAATCTAATAATAGTCAAGTTATAGTAAATACCCAGCCGATTCCGTTTGACTTATTAGCTGTATATTATTTCCAAACGTTTAGCTTTAAAAATTTTCTTTCAAACAATTACGAATTCAATGATTACAACATAATTATAACGTACTTCTTGGTAATCTTCACAATTATAATAAAAGATTCGTTAGCAAGAATCGTATTCTTATGCATTTTGTTAATTATCAGATATATTGATAATTTATTCCTTATAAACATCGGACATAATTTAATATTGATTAAAGAAAAGAACGTATATAATCGGAAATTTTGTCATACAAGTCGCATAGTCACATAATTGCACGCAATTTAATTTGCTTAAAATCCGCCCGAATTTGGTTTTTATTTTTGGTCTTTATTGAAATTTTTTTTTTCTTATACGTATACTTATCCGAATTATATGATTTAATGAATCCGATATTAAAAGTATTCAACTATTAATGTAATTATTATATTCTTAATTCTTTATTATAATGGTTTAATTAATGATCAAATCGTTCGGATAACCTTTCATTTCTGACCCGAATTTCAAAATACAGTATATAATATATTATTGTCAATTTATCTGGTATATTTCTTATTAATAACAAAAGACATTAACATAAAAATCAACGAGCGTTGAGCAAATAAAACTTTGTAGTACGATTTGGAAAAAAATTCCTTTCAGTCACATACGAAAGAGTCTTTAAGGCTTTAGAGAACTATTTAAATTTTAAAAAAGCTTTGCACATTATATATCCGAGATATATTTTAATTTATTTATCTAAATCTATTAAATATAAATCTATTAAATATAATCTAAATCTATTAAATCTAAAACTATTAAATTTATGTCTATTCAATCACGGCCAAAGCTAACCATCTCTAATAAATTTAATTATTAATTATTAATATACATAAGTAAGCTATTTACAATATACTAAATATAAAAAATAATATTATATATAAAAAAGGTTTGGAGAGTCAAAAAATAAATAAATAAATAAATAAATAAATATCAGTCGAACTACATTTTAATTCATAATTTTCACCTCTATATCCGTGTCCTTGCGTTCAATTTTAATTTAAATTCAAGTTAAAATCCGACTGAAATTTTTCCAAAAGGTTTTAATGTTGAAACTCCTGAGTGTAATTTTACGTTTTTTCATTTTTCCTAAGAAATTTGGCATATAAATTTTTGCGAATGACGAATAATAATACTATTGAAAAAAAAAAACGCATTAGACATTGTATATAAGAATATAAAAAACTTTTAAAAAAAATTTATACTTACTTCAAATTCAGAATTATGAAGTTGAACAAAATTATGTGCCAATACATGACAAAACATCATAAACCAATAGGTCATGGCATCAATCGTTGGTTTGCTTTTACATTCTTGTTCGTGTAATCCAATATAAAATTTTAAATTAAAAAATAACGCTCCATCACGATTAAATGCAATTGAATTTACGCTATTATCATAAAATATATGAATGGCTTTTGGCGTAATTTCAAAAACATCTGCAAGATCTTTCAGTATATTTATGAATTGGCTCAATGGAGCAATCCGCGATTGAGATAAGATTTCTGATTGGTCAATACCATTAGAAACATAGAGTTCAATCTTTTGTGAATTTCCAACGCAGCGCATTGAATAACCTGAAGTCAATAAATCAAATTAATAAAAAAAAAGTATAATAAACAAATTAAATTAAATTTAAATTGTATATTGCTTATTACCAGGTATAATATCACAGGAATTCACTTGACTTTCGTTGATACAAGTTTTTGTAAGACCTTTAATATTAGAATTACTTTCTGAATTAGAATAACGAGATTTTATGGAATATTGTAATAAGTTTCGTAAATCTTGTGTGTTCTCAGAAGTTATGGTAATCGGTTTCTCGTTTTCAAAAGATTTAATATCAATATCTTCGCTACCATCCTGTTGTTGTGATTGTTGGTCATCCTTCAATAAAGAAGATATAGGTAATTCAGGTTCGAATATCCCCATATGTTTTAAGCTTGATAAAGGTGCGGTTAAAATCGTGTTAAAATAAGAAATATCTTTCGAATTATATAACTTGAAAATATTGCTGAGTATATTTTGTGAAATATCAATTAAATTAGAGTTAGACGTCACATAAAGAGTCCATGAGTTCGTACTTTCTTTAATATTGGTAGTAATATTATTTCTTTCATTTTTCGTAATGGATTCTAATTTATAGCTTGTTTCCATATATTCAACCTCTCTAACTTTTAGTTTTTTAAGCCACTTGTTATCATTTTTAATCTCTTCTTCAGAATGATTTAAATAGAACAAGCTCGCTCGTTCCCTGATAATTCTTTGTAATTGTTGAGAATACTTAGTTTTTTGAATATGGCCATGTGGAACCACAGATTTTGTTACAGACTCATATAACGATTTACATCCCAATTTCTAAAATTTAAAAAGTAATTAATAAAGAATAACCAAACATCATTTATCTAAAATAATTCTTTATTAAACATACCTTATATAAAGATTCCAAGTTTTTAGGAGCTACTAACGGATTTAAAACTTGCTGATATACTTTATCATCATTTATGTAAATTTCTTTTACTAATGCCAAATAATAATCATCATTTCTTTTACTATTATGACCAATTTTAATAGCTATTAAATTATCATCATCTTTCTTTTTTCCCAAAGTTATATTATCAAGATTCTCGTTAAATTTAATTTTTTCCAAATATTTTGTTATATCATTTTTGTATAAATTCCATAATTTATTCGGCGAGTTAACTAATAATCGGGCAAAATCTGCTGAAGATGGCTCGTTATTAACACCACATTTGGCCAAAAATCTATTGGCTTTTGTTCCAAAATCAACACATGGAAAGAATTCATTTAAGCTAAAAGTAAAAAATTATAAATATCTTAAGATGATTAATAATTTCCTCGTTAAAAAAAAAGAAAGATTTATCTATTTGAGAAGTAGTACATACCTTTCTTCTTTAAAAAAACAGTCGCGTGGTTTGATAAGTTTGTTAATAATTTCGTTAGATTGACTTTCACTTTTAATTGGAATAAATTCGAAATTATTAAGAGTACCCCAATCAGAATCAGTAAAGTCATGCTGTTGTGAGTCCAAATATTCAAAAACATTCTTTGCCTCATCTTCATTTTGTGGTGGATTCTCAGTTAAACTCTTAACGAGTTTTTCATGGTTAGGATGTTGACGAACACCAAATTTTTCCACATTAGAACGTAAATCTTTACATATAGCTCGGAAATTCATTATCATGCATCTATCATCAATAAAACACTCCGAAGGTTTTGCATAGGTATTGGAATTTGAACAGGGTAAAAATGCAATATCGATATCTTCTGGTTTATAATATTTTGAATACTTATTATCAAAATTGTCAATAAAATATTTAAGAGCCATTTCACGAAATTTAGGATCAGAGGGAGGAGCTGCCAGTCCGAGAATTGTTTCGAGATTGGGATTAATTTTTTCTAGGATGTTCGGATATTTTTCTACATATAAATTCCATAATTTATGTGATGAATTAACTGATAATCGGGCAAAATCATCTGAAGATGGTTCCTTAACACCACATTTGGCCAAAAATTCATTAGCCTTTGTTCCAAAATCAACACAGAGAAAAAAATCATTCAAGCTAAAAAAAAGGAGAAAATAATACTTTTAAGAAAATAATAATAAATATTTATTAAAAAAGAGATTTATATTCAAGTACATACCTTTCTTCCTTAAGTTTAAAGAAACATTCACGTGGGTTGACAAGTTTGTTAATAATTTCGTCAGATTGACTTTCATTTTGAATTGGAATAAATTCGAAATTATTAAGAATATTCCAATCAAAATCAGCAAAGTCATGTTGTTGTGAATTCAAATACTCGAAGACTTCCGTTGCCTCATTTTTATTCTGTGGTGGATTCTCAGTTAACCTCTTTACAAGTTTTTCATGATTAGGATGTTGACGAACGCCAAATTTTTCTACTTTAGAACGTAAATCTTCACGTATAGTTTCGAAATTCATTATCATGCATCTATCATCAATAAAACACTCTGAAGGTTTTGCATAGGTATTGGAATTTGAACAAGGTAAAAATGCAATATCGATATCTTCTGGTTTATAATGTTTTGAATACTTTTTATCAAAATTATCAATAAAATACTTAAGAGACATCTCACGAATTTTAGGATCCATTGGAGGTGCTGATAGTTCAAGGATTATTTCGAGATTGGGGTTAATTATTTCCAAAATGTTCAAATATTTCTTTAAATATAAATTCCACAATTTATGTGAAGAGTTAACTGATAATTGGACAAAGTCTGCTGAAGATGGTTCATCTTTAACACCACACTTGGCCAAAAATTTATTGGCTTTTGTTCCAAAATCGACACAGGGAAAGAAATCATTCAAGCTAAAAAAAAAAAATAATATTTATAAAATGTCATCATAATTAGTCGTAATAATTATTAAAAAAAAAAAGATTATATTTAATGGATATATACCTTTCTTCTTTAAGTTTAAAGAGACATTCGCGTGGTTTGATAAGCTTGTTAATGATTTCGGATTGACTTACATCTTGAATTGGAATAAATTCGAAATCGTTAAGGGTGTTCCACTCTAAGTCAGTAAAGTCTTTCTGTTGTGAACTCAGATATTCAAAAATTTCTTTTGCCTTGTTTTTATTTTGTGGTGGATTCTCAGTTAACCACTTTACGAGTTTTTCATGATTAGGATGTTGACGAACGCCTAATTTTTCTGCTTTAGAACGTAAATCTTCACGTATAATTTGGAAATTCATTATCGTGCATTTATCATCAGCGTAGCACTCTGAAGGTTTTGCGTAAGTATCGGAATTTGAACAAGGTAAAAATGCAATATTGACTACTTCTGGTTTGTAAAATTGAGAATAAATATCAAAATTATCAATAAAATATTTAAGAGCCAATTCTCGAATTTTTGGATCAGTTGGAGGTGCCGCAAGTTTGATAATTGTCTCAAGATTGGGATGTTTTCGTAAACCCAATTCAATTAGAAATTTTCCTGTAAATTATGGTTCGTTAATTACAAATAATTTGACAAATTAAGCAACAAATTAAATAATAATGAATTTACCTTCTTTTGAGCTATTAGACCATTCTACATTCCAATCAATTAAATGTAAACCAAATTCACGATGTGATCTTAAAGGTATATATAAATCTCTAGCAACAAAACGTTGAATTTCTCCTGTTGGCTGTGAACCTGATAAATTTTCTTTAGGCCAGATGGATTCGTTTTTTAATATATTCTTTTCATCTTCACTGAGATCATCTGATATTGATGCAAGATATTTTATGATTTGAATATAATAACAATCTTCTTGATTAACGAGTCGTTTAAGAATGAGTTTTAATTCTACAGACTACAAAATTGATTAGTTATTAAAAACTAAAATGATTATACATATAAATAAATTTTAGAAACATTTATTTTACCATTCGAACTCCAAAATGTTCCATCAAACGTCGAACGCTCGATGTGAAGTCTTGAAATTTTATCGTTGGTAAGTTAGGAAATAGATCAACACTTTGGAAATAAGATTCGTTGGGATACTTCATTCCAAATTCAGTTGGAATACATTTCTTTTCAACAAATAACTGACGAATAGTTTCTTTATCTTCTTGTGAAATATCTTCTAAATTCTTTGCTATAACATGATGAACTTTTTCCGCAAATTCAAAATCTGATTCTAATTCAGGTTTTTTGACAATAAACTTTGCCCAATTAACCAAAGGCAATTCGGTCCATCCAAATCTATTTTCAAGCTCTTGCCCAGTAAAATTTTTGGAAATATTATTTGGTAATACTTCAAATGGAATACTCATATCTAAGGGAATTTTATTTGGGTTCGAATAAAATTGAATTGTATTCAGAGTTTGAGAACTATCCCCAATTCGAGCAAATTTCAAAAGTTGCGTGTCAAAATTATTATCTTCTGTCAAATAAGAAATCCACCATTTCAAAAGCTTAATAATTTCTTCTTCAGACAATGTTCGGATTTTTAATTCATCTAAAATATCTTGTAAACCTAACTCTGCTATAAGCTCTACTTCTTTGGCTTTATTAAAAAACAGATTACATTGTTCCAACAAATTTTTTGGAACGAGTGGTACTGTCTTTATGAATCCTGTTATTTTTGGATTAGGCAAGCGAACATTTGATATTGGAAGAACACCATGCGTTGATAAAATCAACAAGTTTTGTTTCAAACAACTTGAAAATTGTGTTTCTGCTATTGTGCTAACTTGCATATTCGGAGTACCTGTATTGTATGTAAAGTGTGCTATGGCATATGCTGCCCATTTTTCCAGCCATTTACGATAGGGAGAGATTTTTTCATCATATTGTGTCATTTGTACGATTGATGTACGTTTTTTGAAACTAAAATGTAATACTCGTTTTTTAAGCCATTTATATAACGACCTTTTCGATCTTGACTTAGATGTACTCTTTTCAGGTCGTTTGGTTTCTTCATTGTTTTCAATATCGGAACTGATAATTTCATTATAAAAGTTTGTTATTTGAGCCATTTCATATTCATATAAAATTCTACTTAATGTTCCTGCTAAACATAACATTTCATTGTTATATTCAGCTAATGTTGGTTCAGCAAAATCAATCAACTCTCGTTCCATCTAGAAGATTATATTAAGATAACGTAATGTTATCGATTATCATCATAATAAAATACGATATAACAAGTTAAAATATACTTACGGTAGGAATTACACGAGCTGCTAAGTGAGAACAAGAACCGGTTGTTTGATTAGTTGGAAAACCAATATATATTTTTCCTTGTTCAGGATATGAAATTAAATCTTTATATATAGGAGAAATATCTTTATTATCATCTTTAGATAAATTACGTTCATCAAATTCAGCATAAATCATTTGAATGAACGTATTATTTGGTGGCTTTTTCTTAGTAACTCGTTCCATTTTTGCAGAAAATTCTTTGCTAACTTTAACGTCTAAATTTCCATTGGCAATTCTAAATAATATAGATTCTTCTAATGTTTGATACATGTGTGAACGAAGTTGTTTTATGTTCAATTTCGTTGGTATAAGTAACCTTTTAACATCTAGTTGAACACCTCTAAAATCTACAGATGTGAGATGAAACATATTGTTTGGAGAAAATGTATTTAAGCCAGATGCAATTTCAACCAATTTTGGTTCTTGCATTTTCTTTGATAGTTGTATTATCAATACATCATCAATATACATAGATACTTCTTGAAGATTTTCCGTAAACCCCTATTATTGTAAACCGATGAAATATGATATTAATTATAAAAAATAATAATATCGACATTTATATATTAAATTAATTACCAATGAATTGACCAAGAAACGTGCGAATTCCTCAATATTTGGTATCTAATTAACGAAAAAAAAAGATACGTTAGCGTACAAATATTATGAGACGTATATAATAATGTTCAAGAAATATTTACCTCTAAAGGTTCCCTAGTATCCATTAAAAATGTAGTCCAACCTTTGTCATCATCATCAATTGGACCTTGTTTCGTGAATACTTGGTTCCCGCGCCAATAGAAAGCCATTCCTTGTCCACCAGAGGAAACACTATAAATATAGAATTATTTGTTAATAAATAGATCTCGTTAAGTAAAAGAGAAAAATAAATTACTTACAATGGATTTTCAGTAACAGAAAACAATGAATAAAATCCTACGCCAAAAGCTCCTATCTGTTAATATCATAAAAAGGAATGTTACTTATAAAAGTGATAAAAATGATTTAATTTATATGAAATAAAAATAAGATTTCTTCCTTACCTTTTGTTCATCAGGATTTCCTTCGGCAATTTTCACTAAACGATTCCAATCTTCAGATCTAAAAGCGAATCCATTATTTTTAAATAATATTCTTGTAATTTTACTGCCATTGGTTTCAAATATAATTTTAACGCTTGATGATTCCGCATCATCTTTATTTAATGAAATACGTAAAATGATAAAAGAATCAAATAAATTTTCTATTAATTATAAATCAAATATATAAGAAAATACAAAAGATTTTTACCAGAATTTTGCATTAATTCCCGATATATTACAAATTTACAGGAATATCTAAAAAAAAAAAGAAAAAAATTATTTTTTTTTTCATCTTTGTTAAAATGTTTAAACAAGTATGTACACACACATATTACAAAAATTAATGACTTACCGAGCCAAAATCTTATCAATTAAGTCTCTTTGATTGACTTCGACATTTCCCTCACTAGAGTTTGAAAGGATTTGGTTTCTATAGGTGTCCAAAGACATTGCGAAATATTATGATAAATAATGTTTATTAATGTTAAAAATAGGAGAGATGAAATTTTATTAAAATAAAAAAAATCTGAACTGGATCATATTTATTGATAATCGGTTCATTGTTTGAAATTTATGAGTAACATCATTTTTGTATTCCCAAAAATAGAAATCTGACCATTGTCAATATTCTTATTTTAGTTATAGATAATAAAAATAATAAATGCAGATTTCTAAATGGAAAGACAGTGGAAAGACTATTAACTAAGAATAAATAAACAATGAAAAAAGTTGTTAATAAATAAACAATGAAAAAACGCAGTTGTAAATGTTTGTCGTTTTTCGTCTTGGAAAACAAATATAGAAATACAGTAAAAGAAAATTCTTTTTTGTCGATCGAATATTTGGCTGTTCTTTTGATCACAGCATGTGATCAGAAATTCAGAATCGAAATTGAGCTTGTCGATCTTGATCAAATTTCATTTTTCAAAATTATTAATTTTTTCCTAAATAGAAGTTTTCTGTTGATTTTCTTTTTTTTGTTTCTTTTAGAAGCGCGTTTTTTATTTTCTGAGTAGTTTGGAATAATTTTTTTGAAAGTTTTAAAGTTTTTATAGTACTTATATATATAATTCTTATTTTTTTTTTTTCCAGTATAACTGGTCAGAACTTTATTAAAATTGAAAGTCGTACAAAACTACAAATATATATAATTATTATTAAAATAAAGAATTCTTTTATATTTTTAATAACCAAATAAATATATATTTTATAATTATTTCCCAAGCTAAAAAATTCTATTTCTAATATTATTTATACGAATTTTATCAATTTTTCTCAGGCTAAAAAAAAATTATATATCAATTTAAAAAAAAATAATTAGTTAGTATATATAATTATAAATTATTTTCTTTTTATGATATTGAAAAAGGTTATATACGAAAATTTTAATGTATGCTTTGCGTATAAAATTCATTTCATATCAGAAAAATATCCATACGTTGGATTTGGAAAGGTCGGAAGATCCAATTCCAAGAAAAAATCATTAGAAGCTTCCAAAACACATCACTAAATTGTCGGCAAAATATCACGTGATTGGCCAATTTCTAGCGTCTAAAAACAAGCGGAAACTTCAAAAATCGATACGCCATGCAACATGAAAACCCGTGATGTATCTGCGCCTGATCTATTCATGGTTAGAATATTTTGATTGGCTGTCAAGTTCATGTGCACGTTCCGACTTCCGATAGCCAATCCGCGAAAAAATTCTTGTTAACACTTAACGGTTAAACCAAGATAACGATTAAACCCTTTTTTATTCTTTTTTCTCTTTTTTCTAAAAAAAAAATTTTTTTTCTCTCACGGTTTTTTAAACCGAATTTTTAATTAATTTTTTTTTGTTCTTTCGCTTTAGGTTTGGATCAGTGACCAGGTCGATATAATTTTGTGATTTAATTATTAATCATTTTTTTATTTTTGGTTTTTTAGCTCAATATCTATTTATATAATCTTTTTTTAATTAGCTTTTTTTACTTTTGTTATTATAAACTAATAAAAAGAAAAGACTCTTTTGCTACTAATTTATTTTATTTTATTCATTTTTTTATTGTAATTTTTTTTTCGTTATCTCAATTTTCTAACCAAAGTTGTAGTAAAAATTAATTATATACAGTAAAATAAAATATTTAAAAGAAAGACAAGTAAAATGGAAAAAGCCCAATAGTATATATAGTATAAATTAATCCTGTTGAAACGCAACATTGTTATTGAGTTGTTCCTAAAAGAAAAAAATCGTCACATGCAATCATGCATGTATAGATTGTATAGTGTTCCTCATATGAGTTTTTGTAATACACTCAATAGGGGAATCTTACCACACTACCTAAACGTGGTAGTACAGGTGACATACTGTATAATGCATTATCCATTAAAAATTTGTTGTTGGGTGACACTGCACCAATTTCCATTGTTATTCACCGGATTTTGTGGCACATGATCAAATGTGAGAAAGGCATCAATGAAGACGTGTTGGGCGATCTCAATGACTAAGATTAAATGCTCTATTACAAACAACAAAAAGAAAAAAATAGTCACTGCTTTAATGAACTAATAAGAAAAAATCATTCTAATTCACAATACCTGAAAAAGAAAATTAAAAATACCCATATGATTTAACATTTAATATATGTAATAGCGCGTTTATCCTGCATTGCGTCGAGCACCACCAATTTACATCACTAAAAGATTTATTGGTCGATGTGAATACAAAATATTTAATAAAATATAAGGCTTATTTTTAAAATGAAATTGTAAGAAAATCCATTAAAAAAAAAATACTGGATTTTAATTAAATTAAAGCGCGTGTGTCGCCTATCACATAAATTAGGATTTTATTTCCAGCTGATATAATTATGTACAATTAGAAAGAATGAATAATTTCTTTTTATAATAGTTACTGCAAGCATAATAAAAGACTTTTAATTTTAAACTATAAAAAAAAAATACTTCTCTTTCGATTGCTTGACCAAAAATTTTATGGTCAAAAAAATGACAAAAAGTCATAAAATATTACAAACTTTATTATTTTGAGACTCTCATATTTATTAAACCAACTTTCGTTATTCAGGATATGTATATTTTTTGAATTTTTTTTTTTTTTTTGGAAAGAAAAATATCAAACAAAAACGACGTTGAAATATTTTGTAAAAACGATAAAAAAGCCCATTAGCCCAAGCTTTTATTTTTCTTGATAAAAAAGTTCAACAAGAGTGTTAAATGTCAGTGCGATAATGCTCTATTCATCTTTCCATAAAGTAATGAAAACTGGCGAGTGGTGATACTCAGACAAGTAATTAGCAGATGTTGTAGATGTTGTACAGCGTACGCTCCATGCCTCATCCTGCAGATCCTTAAAAAGGGAAATAATTTAAAAATTCTGCAATCTCCGGTTATAATTGCAGGACTTTGGACATTTAAGGATGACAATTACTTAAAATTAACATTATAATAGAAAAATGGTGGGAATTATATTAATAATATTAATAATATTTGACGTGGTGCTTTATCTTACGTCTATGTCTATGTGTCATTATATAATGACAACCTCATTTTTTTCCTTTTTTGTACAAGTGTGCACTGATTTGCATGTGTAGATGGATTTGCATGCATAAAAAAATAACAATGTTGCTTTTAATCTAAGCATTCATTTTGGTTATATATTACTATTTTAATATATAAAACCTCGGAGCTAAATATATATATACACGGTATATATAATAACACGGAACATTGTATATATATGTATATGTATATATATACTTGGTAAATACATAACATTGTATATATATATATATACGGTAAATATATATATATATATGGAAATACTATATATATAACAATGTATATATAGAAATACGGTATATATAACAATGTATATATAGAAATACGATATATATAACAATGTATATATAGAAATACGGTATATATTTAACAGTATCTTTATATACATTAGTTTCAGTTTATACAAGTATATATATGGAAACATGTATATATAAAAGTGTATATTATTACATACAGTATTATATATATATATAGAAATCAGTATATATATAGAGAGAGAAAAATACCGGTTTCAAAATTTTCTTTCTTTTTTTTTTTCATTCAAAAAAATCAATAAATATACTCATAAAAGAAATTTTAAGTTTCCTTATAACAATATTTCATCATGTCGTATGGTAACAATAAATTAATCAATGATGCACTTAATAGATCATATGCATTAATAGACCACAATATTCGAAATGATGCACAAAAAGTCTATGAATTCAGAAAACAAGCACTTCTTAATGATGAATCACTTACTGATAATGAAAAATCTGAAGCGATAGGAATTATTACTAAAACTTACGATCTTAATAAACTTACTTTTAATAAAGGAACAAAAAGAATTTGTGAAAATTGTAATCAAGAATGTTTAGCTACAACATATTGTGAACATTGTATTCGAAATCATTTAAAATCTAAATTTTCAAATTGGTCATCTGGAAATGATAATGTTGATAAATTAATACAAGATTGTCAAATGAAAACATTGATACCAAATGCAATACCAGAATGGATTCCATATAATAATTTAAAAAATATCAAATATTTAACAAAAGGTGGATGTTCCAAAATTTATACAGCAAATTGGATTGATGGATCATATGAAGAATGGAATTCTAATGATCAACAATTAAAAAGATTTGGAACTCATAATGTAGTACTTAAAAAATTAAAAAATGTTGGAAATGCGAATCAAAATTGGCTTGAAGAGGTTTGTAATAAAAAAAAAAATTTGACAAATAAATTTTTTTTTTTTGAACATTTTTTTTGATTAATTTTTTTTTTTTATAGGCTAAATCATATTTAAATATAAGTAATAAATGGACTAATATTGTTCAATGTTTTGGATTAACACGAAATCCATCAAATGGAAATTATATGCTTGTAATGAATATGATGGATATAGATTTAAGAAGATATTTACAACAAAATCATAATCAACTTACGTGGAAAGAAAGAATTGAAATTATTACTGATATAATTAAAGCACTTGAAAGAATTCATTATGAAAATGTAATTCACAGAAATTTGCATTCTGGAAATGTATTATTTACAACTGGTGAAAAATTTTATATTAGCGATCTTGGATTTTGTGGACCTGCAGATAAACCATTAAAAAGTATATACGGCAATCTTCCTTATATAGCACCCGAGGTTATTGTTGGAAAAGAACAAACTTTTAAATCTGATATTTATTTCATTGCAATGCTCATGTGGGAAATTTCATCTGGACAACCACCATTTGTTGGATACAAACATGATTATCATATTGCTATGAATATTGTTAATGGTATAAGACCAAAAATTGTACCAGGAACTCCTTTAGAATATAAAAATTTGATGAAACAATGTTGGGATGCTGACCCATCAAAAAGACCAGACATTAAAACACTTATAAATAGTATAGATAAACTTAACCTATCTTATCAAACTAAATCAAATGAATCATCTCGGTTAGAAGAAAATAATAATCTTGAGATAGAAACCTATTCCGGCAATAGTAAACTATTTACAAGTAAACTTCATCGATTTGATAATCTTCCTGAGCCAAGGAACGCGACAGAAGGTAATATATCAGTTATTTACTTTTCTAATTAATTAAAGAGTATTAAAGTATTAATACCATTATTTTTAACTAAAATAATAGATGAACAAGAAGGTACTGTATAATTTAAACAAAATTCTTATATAATTTTAATTTATAAAAATTAATTAATGAAAATGATTAATTTTTTTTATAGCGTTTCACAATGATTTTCATATTCCTAATAATAGTAGTAAGAAAAATAATATTTCAAAAATATTTAAAGGTAATTAAATAATATATTTTATTATAAAATAATCGAATGAATGAATAACTTATATTAAAAAATTATATAGTTAGCGGCAAAAAAATATCCAAAATATTTAAAAGAAGCTCAAAAAATGGTAAGTAAAATAATTTAAAGTGTTGATTTTATTGTAATTTTATTAATATGATTTTAATTTATTTTTAGATATTCAAAATAATTATAAGATTGAACCAATGCAACAGCAAACAATGAATCTTCATATTAAAGATAATGGTACGTAAACAATTCTTATAATAATCACTTTATAGTATTTTTTTTTTTTCATTGTTAAAATATATATTATATATTTGATAGACGAAGGTGAGATGTATAACAATCCAAATCTTCGTTCATTCAGAAGAATAAGATGAATTAGAATTTCCTGACGGTAAGATTTTGTTTTTAAATGTTAAATTTTATTAACAAAATTACATAATTACATAATTTAACAATATATATTTTTTTTATCATAGATATTCAGGCGCACATTATGTAAATATTATTATATCCGATTTTTTTTTTCTTGCATAAAAAATTACTCTTGATGAGTTAATTTTTTCAAGGTTTCTTGATCGTAATTTGAATATAAACGTTTTATTATAAAATAAATAAAGTATATTTTTAACATTTAATTGCTGGAATTACAAAGTATCATAATTCTAGGTCAAATAATAATACTAAAGCTGACGATATATTTGCGTACAATATCGAGCAGGTTAACGTCGCGAAGTGACGTTAACCAACACCGTACAATATCTGATATCCATAAAATATAAAAAGTTTAACAAATATTTGATATTATTAAAATTTTATAAATTGTAATTTTGCTTTTTAACAGTAATACTTTATGTTTATTAATTCACATAAATTTCATACATCAAAAAGAATCAATAAAATAAATTAACCGCACGAAAATCCCTAATATATAACAAAAAAGCTAAGCAAAGAAACAAACTTAATTTTTAATACTGTAGATATGAAATTTCCCGCATATCCCTAAACCCCTATAGAGAAAACCTAAGCTCAACTACCCGGAAAATGCCCCTACATAAATCTATATTTAAAGCTACATATCCGAACCGTTCGACGCCACGAGAAATAAGAAGTCCTAACGGGACCTTGAATCGAAGCTCTATGCATCCATTCCTTTTCAGCGGATAGCAATTGGAGATGCTGCGGCAAAGATGACGTGCGAGAAAAAGAGACATGAGGAGAAGAAGATGGTGAGGACTGAGAGAATGGGCCGCGGAACGTAAGTCCTGATTCGAAATCATGTTACCAACTGGAACAGTCTATGATTTATTATCAAATGTCAACACATTGACAGTTTTCATTTCTGTTTCATACTGTAGTTAAATAAAGCTTCCGCAAGTGTCACGAGTAGTAAACAATCAAAATGCGTCGGAAAAAGTATGGCTCAAAAAAAAAAAAAAAAAAAAAAAANAAAGTATAAAAAAAATTTCATTCAAAAAAAAAAAAAGTTCGTCCAATAAATTTCAGAGGATCAAAAATTGTTCGTATTGAAAAAAACCTTTAAGTGAAAAATTATGATGTAAAGAACGTGACCCTATAGAATAATGGAGGATGAACCAGTGGAAATCTTGATAAGTTTATAAAAGATACAATGTATAATGTAAGAGATAGTAAACAAATTCATGTTTATAAATTTCTTGAATCTATAATATAATAAATTTTTTTGTGTGTAACCGTCACGTTTATACTGCTATTTTATGTGTGTGTAACAGTAACGTTTAGACTACTAATTTATGCGTGCAATTGTATATAGTTGTGACGTATGTTCATGTGACGATGGGGTGTGCTGTCAACTAATTAAATCAAAACTATATGTAGTACCATATAAAAATTTACTATTGAAGATTTTTTTACACGTGAAAAAAAAAATTATTTTGTACATAAAAAAATTTATTTTTTCATTTATATATAATTTGTACTGTATTTACAAACCATTAATTATTTTATCAGCAAATTATATTTTATATTTCATTTTAAGTAAATATTTTTAATTATTAGTCAAGAATTTGTTTAAGAAGAGTTGACGCAATATTAGGTCCAAATTGGACTTCTTGGAGTGGAGTTCTTCTTGACTTAGTTATTTGTTTTCGTATATCTTTAAATCCATCGTTCAGATTTTCTTTTGTGATCTTATCTGATGATAAACGAAGCTTTGATTGTTTTACTGCTGGTGACATATTCGGGTGTGTCTTCAAATCTAGTTTATTGAATAATCCCTCCACCTGTTGTTGGAAGATAACAATGAAATAAATATGATTTTTAACGAAATCATAAAGATTAAGAAATTTGTATAACTTTGGATCATCGCAACTACAGAATCGTTTAAATTCTTCAAGAAAATCATTGTTATGCAATAGCAATTCACGCAAACCAAAGTCATTAGTTATTCCATTATTTATATCACCCTCCAAATCCTGTGCAAAGCGTAATTCCAAATCTGAAGGCAAAGAAATCCAAGGCTTTTGAAGAATAACATGATAAAAACTAGATGCAAATGGTTGAGCATTATTTCCACCAAGAAGACAAACTGCTAATGGCAAATGAAGCCATTGTAATAACCATTTTTCAAAATGTTTTAAAGCCTCTATAATGCCATATTCTAAATCATTAAAAAGAATCTCAAATTCCTTGCTAGATAATGAATCTGCAGCTTCTGTAAGTTGATCGGAAAAAAACATATCAAAGTTATTAGTAAGGTTTTTGAGAAACTCATGCCATTCAAATACTTTATCTGGCATCTCATGAGCACGCCGGCCAGGAGGTAATGTAATTAACTGATCATTTTAATACAGCCGTGGAATAGGATTTTGTTTTACCATGAATTGCACTAGAGGCTCATAAAAATGTTCAGCAAAGTTTACTAAACATTTAACTTGAATGTTTAATTTTGGATCAACTAGCCAAGTTTTAAAAAGACGCCAATTTTCAAGATAAGTCTTAGGAGTAGTTTTACGATTTTCCAGTTTTTCAATGAACCAATTTGTAAATTCAATATGAGCAGCATGACGATTTAAATATTGTTTTGCTGTTTGTAATTCATAGTCCCATCGAGAACGAAGAGGTAATTGATATTGGTTGTAATGGAATCCTAGTAATCCATCATAAAGATTTTTAATAATTTGAGAATTTACATTAAGTGGTTTGTCTTTATCGCTTGCATTGTATCCATCATGTAAATTCCATGCCAAATAAAGTAAATTATATGGATGTGATTTTTTTGAAAAACCAGTTCCATTTGATAGTTTTCCAAATGCTGCTAGCTCAAAATGATTAAGCACAATTTGAATTATGTGGAGCCCACATCCAATTCGTAATGATTTTAAGCCTGTTTTCTTATTAAAAAGTGTAATCGCACTACCTTTATCCCCTGACATATAAGCTGTATTGTCAGTTGTCCATAGCGCACATTTGGTGAGATCTAAACCATCTTGTTTAATATTTTCAATGACAGTATCACATACAGTTTCTGCATTACACTTTTGAATATCTTGAAGCCGGGTTATAACTACAGCTGGTGTCTGATTTTTTTGATCCCAGAATTGATAACACATAACAAAATTTTTGGTTTCACCTCTTGTTGATTCATCAACCATAATTCCAAATACTGAAGCATTGGCAACTTGACAGATTTGAGCATTAACATGTAATTCTGAAACGTTCTGATGCCAAGTACGCAATGTTGAAATTGATATCCAATTTTGTGGGGGTTCTCCAATTAAAAACTCATAAATTAATTTCATACATTCTACTGTTGAATGTAATGATACTTAACCAACTTGCGAGATACTAGTTGCAAGCCAAACAGTGTTAGATGTATAGCTGCGTTTGTTAACTTCAAAGATAGATTTAATTTTTTTTTGAAATGTTGCATCAGAGATCTGATGAGAGCATCGAACTAAAGAACGGATTTGAGATATATGACTTGATTTCTGATTACGAAGATGTCTATTTTGAACTCCAAGTGATTGTGTTTTTCTAATCAAAGTTTGATTTTGTCGGTGAAGCTTTTTAAAATCAGCTTTTAATTTTGTATTAGATTCTTGTAGTGATTTATATGTAGGCTGATGCTTATAAAGACTTTGAGTTATGGATTCATAGGCTTTTTTCTGTAAGTATGGCGAATAAATTTTGCCCTTATTAGGTCCTTTTGGATATCGCATTGTTGAAATTAAGTGAGCAGCAGATAAAAGTTGATCATCGGGTAATTGTTCTATTATTAAAATTAAATTATCCCGTTGGTTATTTCTTATAGTTGAATTAGGAGATTAACTTTGTATAGTATTTAAAATCATTTCAAGCTGATTCTCATCCATTTCATCCAAGCACTTGTTTATTTCATTAATTATTTTATCATTCTGATACTTTTCTAACCGAATTTTGTTGCAATTCTTTAGTTGAAAGCGACGTTTATATGATTTGTATACTCCCATCAGCTATTTTCCAAACTTTAGTTAGATACACAGCCTTAATGGTTTAATATTTCAAGGCCAAATTTTATAAAAATCAATATCAAAGCTATATAAACATAGTTACGAACTATTTTTTACATTTAAATGAAAAAACTTACGTTTGATAGGGCAGTTTGAGATTTTTTTTTTGAATATAGGATTTAAATAGGAATTTTCTCCAAACTTGCTATCTGATGTAAATAAAAGCTTCGTAACTTTGTAGCTGTGGTACGGAAGGACTGATTTATATTCAAAAAAATTTGGAGAAGAAAGAAATTCGTGCTGGGCATCTAAAAAAAAAGATCTTATTTTTTATAGTTAATTTATGTGTGGAGTTACACTGGTAAAAAAATGATTTATCCTACACATATCTTACACATATTGGGTACTCAAAATGTAGAAAATCATACACAAATAATACACATATCATACACATATCGGGTACTAATATATATATCATACATATATCAGGTACCTGATAGGTATACTATATATATAAGTACCCGATATGCTGTCTCTTATACACATCTAGATGTGTATAAGAGACAGGGTATACTATATATATAAGTACCCGATATGTGTATGATATGTGTATTATTTGTGTATGATTTTCTACATTTTGAGTACCCGATATATGTAAGATATGTATAGGATATGTGTAGGATAGACCATTTTTTTACCAGTGTTACTGTAAAGTATATTGTTGATAAACTTTAGCCAAAAATCATTTACTAATTGAAGATCAGTGTAACTACAAATAGCTTTGATTTAATTAGTTGACAGCACACCCCAAATTGTGACGAGTGTTCCACGCGTAGTCCCACGTGTGATCTGTAAACGCGTTTTTTAAAAGATAAATTATACATTATTTAACACGTTGTATATTTAATAAAGAAGCTTTAAATTTCTTATATTATGTGTTGAGAGTTATAACAATAAATTACTTAGATTTTATTTTGTAATGAATTGTAAATATATAAATAAATCATTTTTTTTTTCTTAACATAGACCATTATATTAAATTTTTGAGTATAATCTTTTTTTAAAACAATAGGATATTATATTAAGTTTTCTAAGCAAAATGTTTTTTTTTTTAACAATCAACTACGTTAATAAAGATACGTATTATTTTACACTTTGTATATTTAATAAAATTTCTTATATTGTGTGTTGAGTGTAATATATGTCCAAATTTTAATTATTAAAAAATAAGAAAAAAAAATCTGTATATAAAAAAAATTTATGCTCCTGATGATTTATATGAATATTAAGTATGTGTTCGCGTGTCAATTCTTTTCCCCACATATGTCCGAAATGCGTGATATTTGATTAGACATTTGCATCTGGGAATAACCTTTTTCTGAACCACCGAATTCGATGACGTCCTATCTGATACTCTAATGCCGTCTGGATACGAAAAAAGTGAATCGATTGAATCCTGTCGAAAGAGGTTAGCTAGAGAGAAACAGGCCAGCTTGAGAGAAAGGAGAAAAATCAATGATGAAAATCGTCATCCCGATCATACTGAACAAGAAGTAAATGAGACTCCTGAAATACGTAAGAAGAGATTAGCTAAAGAAAGGCAGGCCAGTTTGAGAAAAAAATGAAAGATCAATGATAGAACGAATGAATTGGAACGTACGGATAATGGGATAACACGTCATGAATTAGGTAGAATGAATCAAACCTGCATCTATTGTGGTGCTAAGTTTTGGATGGAGGAAAAGAATCGGAATTCTTCTCTTGCGTCTCCTGCATTCTCAATTTGCTACGCGCATGGCAAAGTTCGTTTGGCGCCTTTGATTGTTCCACCTCCTTATTTGTTAAATCTGTATACTTCGTCGGACTCTGATGCAGTCTCTTTTCGCAAAAACATTAGACGGTATAATAATGTTTTGGCGTGTACGTCGTTTGGTGCAGATATAAATGTGATAGCTGGCCAAGGCATTTCTGATTTTCGCATTCATGGCCAGGTTTATCATCGAATCAGTTCCTTGCTGCCAGAAGATGGTCTCCAGCCGGCGTTTGCACAGTTATATATCTATGACACTGAGCATGAGAATGCAAATCGTCATAATGTAATGTCTGATTTGAATGATGGCATTCTACATAATCTGCTGATCATGTTGGATGAATGCAATCCGTATATCCGAAACTTTTGTCGTGTGAGAGACCTTATCCAAATGAACGTGCCTGATGAAATTTTTATGGTCATTCATGCTGATCGCACGCGAGATTCCCGACGCTACAATGCTCCCTCAACTTCGGAAGTTGCTGCAATCATGTTTGGTGATGGTCATGAACTGCATGCTTCTAATCGTGATATTGTTCTTAGACTACACAATGGAGGCCTTCAAAGAATATCGGAAATACATCCGTCATATGATCCTCTTCATTATGTGTTGTTATTTCCGCAAGGTGATGATGGGTGGCATATTGATGTACCTCTTGCAGGATCTGAGAAAAGAGAAAGGGTGACGACTATGCAATTCTACTCATACAGGTTACAAATTAGAGAAGGTGATTGGCTTCACAATGCTGGACGTTTATATCAGCAATACATTGTCGACCAGTATACCAAGATAGAGCAAACTCGGTTGAATTACCTTAAATTTAATCAAGACTCTCTACGTACTGATTTGTATTGTAGAGTTTCGGATGCATTACATGCTGTCACCAGTAATGATCTTGGTCGTCATATAATTCTGCCTTCCTCATTTTCTGGTGGACCACGGCATATGTATCAGCTATATCAGGATGCAATGGCCATTATGAGTTGCTTTGGTAAGCCTGATCTCTTTGTAACTTTCACCTGCAATCCGAAGTGGGCTGAAATTACTAGGGAGTTGTCTTCTTATCAAAGTGCTAATGATCGACCTGACTTGACTGCTCGCGTATTTCATGTTAAACTGCGGGAGTTTTTAAAAGATCTGTTACACAACAACTGTCTTGGTAAGGTCATAGCATATATATACGTAATAGAGTTTCAAAAATGTGGTCTGCCACATGCCCACTTCTTACTTATATTAGCCCCAGAGAGTAAGTTGCGAACAACGGAAGATTATGATCACATTGTTTCTGCTGAGATCCCGAACCCTTTGACGCATCCTCTTGCATATAAAACTGTGTCTACCATGATAATGCATGGTTCGTGTGGTGCTATGAACCCTTCTTCTCCATGTATGAAAGACGGCATGTGTCAGAAACATTACCCTAAAAACTTTAATGAATCTACTCAGGAAGATAATAATGGTTATCCTATTTATCGGAAGCGTGATAATGGTTCTTTTGTTAATACTAGAAATGGGAGCCGATTGGATAACAGATGGGTTGTACCGCACAATGTTGATTTGGTCACTAAATACAATGCCCATATTAATGTGGAAATTTGCAGTTCAATATTGTCCATTAAATACCTTTATAAATACGTATATAAGGGTCATGACCGGGTAACATTAGCATTGTACCAATCAGCCCACAATGACACTGGACAACATGCATTGGATCATACTGAACCTGTTGATGAGATAAAAATGTATCTGGATGCCAGATACGTTTCAGCATCTGAAAGCATTTGGCGGATTTTCCATTATAAAATGCATGGTCGTTTCCCAGCTGTACAACGCCTTGCGGTTCATCTTCCAGATCAGCAATCTGTTACTTTTCGGGAAGGAGAGGATCTTCAATGCGTTGTGGATCGTGCTAACTCATGTAAAACGACACTAACGGCTTGGTTCCAGGCTAACTTAGATAATGTTACAGCCCGCTCATATATATATAGTGAATTTCCTGTTCATTGTACTTGGGATGAGACTAATCACATGTGGAACCCCGTAAGAATGCTGCATTTGCAATCGGAAGACTTTATATGGTGCAGCCTTCGGAAGGTGAAAGGTATTACCTTCGCACTTTACTGACACATGTTAGGATGCAACAAGCTTTGATGACTTGAAGACAGTAAATGGTTATGTTTGTAGCAGTTTCAAAAAGGCTTGCGTTCATTTGTCCCTTCTACAGGATGATGACGAATAGAGTGCATGTTTACTTGAAGCAAGTGCAGTTCAAACAGGTAAACAATTGCGAAGCCTTTTTGCGTCTATTCTTCTTTTCTGCCAACCGTTGAATCCTGAAATATTGTGGAATGATCACAAGTTCGCATTATGTGAAGATATTTGTTATAATAATCATATCCCGCTACAATCCCAAAATGATCCTATAAGTCATGCAATTGAATGTGAGGCGCTCCATCAATTGGAAGATTGTCTTTTGCTTAATGGTAAATCACTGAGAGATTTTCCAAATATGCCGATTCCTCCACCAAGATCTTTGGATATTAATCATGGTGGTGAGGATTTGGATCAATTGATTCGTAAAGAAAGATCATATAATATTGCTCAGCTTAGTGATGACATCACGCGAAATGTTCCACTGTTGAATGATGATCAACGTAATATATACGAATCTGTTATGCGTGCAGTTACATGCGGTGATGGATGCTTCTTTATAGATGGACCGGGTGGCACTGGAAAGACTTTTTTGTATAATGTCTTGCTGTCAACTGTTAGATCGTCTGGTGATATTGCAGTGGCAGTAGCATCATCTGGAATAGCTGCGCTCTTGATGATAGGTGGTAGGACTGCTCATAGTCGATTCAAAATTCCGCTTAAACTTAATGAATCTTCTACATGCAACATTTCTCGAAATAGTAAGAAAGCACGTCTAATTCTTTTGTCAAAGCTTTTTATTTAGGACGAGGCTCCTATGATCCATAAGTTTGCGATTGAAGCACTAGATCGTACATTTCGTGATATTACTCAAGTTGATAAACCTTTCGGAGGCAAAGTATTTGTATTTGGGAAGATTTTCGTCAGGTGCTTCCTGTGATACCACATGCATCGCGTACTGAAGTTGTTTCATCATGTCTAAGACGTTCATCTATATGGAGACACATGAAGGTAATGAAGTTGTCAATTAATATGAGACTTCGTCAGTCTAATGACCACGGTGAGAACCACCAGCAGAACATTTTTGCTAAGTTTCTTTTACAAGTCGGTGATGGGAAGTATCCTGTTGTTCCAAATACAGAAGATGTGATTGAGCTCCCTTATGCTATGGTAATTTCTGGTGGTAAATTATCAGATCTTATTGATTTTGTCTATCCGAATTTAAACGAAAATTCTGCCAGTGTGGATTTTATGGTTGGCAGAGCTATTTTGATTCTGAAAAATGACGATGTTGAACGTATCTCAACCTTAATAATGGACCAATATCCAGGTGAATTTCATACATATCCTAGCGCAGATTCTGTGGATTTAGCAGATGGTACCAATACGGACCGGCCTCAATTGTATGCCCCAGAATTTTTAAGATCCTTGCAAATTTCCGGCCTTCCTCCTGGTGATTTGAAATTGAAAGTGGGAGTTCTGATCATACTTCTACGAAACTTGAATCCTTCGGAGGGTCTTTGTAATGGAACACGGTTGATTTGTCGTGGCCTTTATAGTAAAGTCATTGATGCCGAAGTTATGACAGGTCCACAAGTAGGTAGGCGTATCTTCATACCACGGATTTCACTAACACCTTCGGATACCAATTTGCCATTTGTTTTAATACGACACCAATTTCTGATACGAGTTGCCTTTTCAATGACGATTAACAAGTCGCAGGGCCAGATATTAAACCATGTGGGTCTGTATCTACCGCAGCCAGTTTTTTCACATGGTCAGTTATATGTTGCCTTATCAAGGATAACTTCGAATCAGTGCATCAAGGTTCTTCTTAATCACGATCGCCCATGCCAAACAAGAAATGTTGTGTATACTGAAATATTTCGTTAGTTTTATTATTGTATTATTTGCTTATTATTAATAAAAACTGTGACTTGAATTGGCAAACCAGTAGGAAGGTTTTAAGTGTTAACATTCTAACTGTTCGATTAATTTTTAACAAAAAAAAAAATTCTCTTTTTTAAATCTTTATGTGTTACCATGAACATCTGACAGATTGATAAATGCACGTGATTTTATATTGTGATACATGCGTAGCGTTTATTTATTTAACACCCATTAAACCGTTACAAAGTAACAGGTCAACAGCTAGTAGGTATAAAAGAAATTGTTCGCAAAAGCAACGTGAAATCAAAAAATGATGGAAATTGGAAAAAAAGAGCCTGAGCACATTTTCTTTAAATTATTCATTATTTCTTTTTTAATAAAAATATTTGACATTTCTTAACTTTTCTTATAGTTTCAGGTTAAGAATAACAGAATGCGTTTCACAAACTTAATTATCATTTTATGTACGAGTTATGAAATCGTATGATGAGCATGCAAATGAGTTTGATTATATGTAGTTAATTAGATATTATTACTAATGTACTTACTGTATTAATGTACTGTATGCATAATCATTATTATTAGCAATATTACATATAAATGTGTTTACTGACACGTCAATATACACATTTTTAACAATCAATATACGCATTTTTATACGTGTTTTTAAACGACGCCATAAAATTGTTTAATATTTTTAAGTAGCGTTGATTGACATAAGGTTCGTTACTCTACATTTTTTGGTACATTTATTAACACTTTATACGCCATTCAAATTACCATTTGTAATGCATAGTACGTAATTTTATAAAAAAATTTATTTTTTTAAAAAATTATATTAAAAATTATAAAATAATTATAAAAAAAAAGTCTGACCCCTCCCAATCAGACACGTCCAAACCCTATTGGACAAAAAGAATAAAAAATTATAAAATAATTATAAAAAAAAAGTCTGATCCCTCCCAATCAGACACGTCCAACCCCAATTGGACAAAAAGAAAAATAATAAAAAATTATTTTTAAAGCCATGGCTCCTTTCTGGCGTTAAATTTACACAAGTTTTCGCTTGGTAAGATTTGCTGGACCAGCATTTAACACAGTGACCTTTAAACTCGGAAGGGATTTTATCGCAGTAAGCTACCCAGTGGAAACCGTTACAATAGATGCAAGTTAAGTTCCTACAGTATTTTTATGTTTAAATTTAAAAATAAATTATTATTAGATAATTTATAAACTTTAATTTTATAGTAAATTGATAAATACCAGATTGTGATGATGAGACGCGTGGTGAGGATAAGCGTGATGAGACATGCGACCAGACATTCGAGCGTGACGGGATATTTGATGTGGTTGTATCCGCTACTTCCTTTGCAGCTTCTTTGATTTTCATTGTTAAACATCATCTTCATTTTCTTCAACTTCTTCATAGTCTGAATCAGTTACAGAAATTATGTTAGAAGCGATATCTGTGAACTTTTGTGTCTTTTTATTAGACTTGCACGAAGACCTAGTTTTCTAATATAGTAGAATTAATAGAAAGTTTTATTTTTAGTAAATTGATACATACATTTGGGCATTTAAAAAGATGATATAGTTCATTTAAATGTTTTATCTTTATCTATATTTTTATGAAGTAAATTAATTATTCACTAATAGTATTTGACATACTACCTTTAATATTATGCTTATTTCAATCGGTAGAAAATCAATGAGCCTAGCATATCGTTCCAACCAATAATTTCTGCTTGTTTTTCCATAAATACGCCATATTTGACGTATGTCTTTTTTAAAAGGCCGTAATTGTTTCATTCTTGAATTGTTAAATATATTTTATATAATAAAATCTATTACCAAAACCTGATAACTTATTCACGGCTTCATGTCAAAAAAAATAATATATTAAAAAAATCATAAAAGAATTTTTTTTAAAAATCAATTATTTTACTTACTGTTGATTATTTTTATTGAGTTAATAGCCATAAGGAAAACTTCTTTAGCATGTCGTTACGATTTTTTGTGCTTTAAGAACTTGTTCGCTCGTTTATTTCAAAATTCGTTATCTGTAGTTTTTTTTTGATACGTTACTTGTAGTTTTTTTTTTGAGTCATTTTAAAAAAACCAAAGAAAAAAATATTTGAAAAATAAAAATTTCGTTTTTTTTTTATTATTTTTTTTTTTTTTTAATACATTTTCTAAAGAAATCACATTTTTCTAAAAGAAAAAGTCATGGCAAAATTCCAATTTAGGGAATAGAGCATTATTTTTTTAACGCTTTTGAAAAATCCGAAGTTTTTAACTGTTGTTAACTCGAAATACAAAAAAGGACCTTTTACCACTTTGTGGGCAGTTCCAAACGTATTCGGTCCGAAATTTATTAGATAAAACTTTTGCCATCACTAAAATAATTTTTTAGACAAGAAAAAATAGATACACCTTAACGAGTTTTATTTGAAAGAGAACCCTTGATAATAATAGATATTTGTTATACACAATTTTATATTTGGTTTAGCTATTGTATAGCGTTTATTCCTACTTTTTACTTTCTTTTTGTTATTACGTATTTCCCTCCTTTCTTTTCTTTCTTCTTTGGGAAAAATTTTTTTTTCCTTTACATGGATATGACGATTTTGGTAATCTAGCTTGTTGAATTTCATGCAACATCTGTGAAGATTGAACCAATCAATGGATAATCAGATAACGTGCAGATTTTACGAATTTATTTATTTATTTATTTATTTATTTTATGTAAAGTCAGAAGAACTATTCTAAGAGAGCATCTATCCAAAGAATATGCCCAACATTTAGTCCATCATCTATCCCGAGGGGCAGACCCTACCTAATTTTTATATATGATAGACTGCTCCAACAACACGACCGATGAAGGAGCAGGTAAAAGGAAACATAGAACTAGGGAACCAGAAAAGAATAAACTGCTATCTAATAGCTACATTAATGTGGTAAATTATGATGTATATATAAAGTGTCGTATATATAAAAATTAAGTGTGGCAAAACTATACATTATAAAATAATGAACTTCTATAAGGGGTGAGAAGTCCCATATTTTTCTTTTGCCTAAAAGGGCGCCAACTGTAAATACTGTCAGAGTTGGAATGATTCACACTATTCTTAATTGTTTTTTGGTTACTCAAATTGGGTATCAATAATAAAAGGAAAATAAGATGTAGAAATAAACTACTGGTAAGTAGGAAAAAAAAATTTTTTTGACTCAAAATATAATATAAATGTTTAATATTAATAAAGCTCCGCTCCTGTTGAGTTATCCATAACGGCAGGAGAGAAACGTCTACGTTTAAATCGATCAGTGTTGTCAATCAAAGGGTAAAGGTTAGTATGCGAAGAAATTCTTTTTTTTTTAGGTCTGAGTTCAAGTTCCTTAGCATCGTCAGAAGTGTCCACTGTCACTTCTGAAGGAAAGAAAGAACGGCCGCCACGTGCTAGTTTGCTGTCAAGAACACGCGCTTTAGCTCCCTTAATCACTAATGCGGTAAATTTAGTCATTTTTTCATAAATATCTGATTTGATCTTATCATCGTCAGATGCCAAGTAGTCATTTGTATAATCCGTCATTTCATAGTGAACACGCTCACTAACTAAGGTTAGCGTAAATGCCAAGTGTATTCGTCTATTAACACGATTAAATGAAGTCCCATGAAGAATTGCATCTTCTTTAGTTTTTCTAATTACTTCGATATGCTCATTCTCAAGTCGTAAGGCACGATGTTGTGCTTTTATAAGTGGTGGAGGCAAGTTGATGTGTAAATTATACATATAAGTAAACCATTCTCTAGAACCAGGAACAATATATATACCATCAGCGGTATAAAGAGGCTCCTTAGGAATTATATTACGATATTTGCGAAGAATAAACATATTAGGGATAGGATTGTACGGGGCCACCGTATGAACAATATTAAGTGATAGAGTATCCTCAACGATGTTAGTCATAATTTTTCTACCAGGATGTCCAAAAAAAGGCGTCCAAAATTTGTAATTTCTATGATGAAGACCTTGGTTGTAGAGTAGATGTTTGATGGGTTTAAGAACAAATTGTGATTCGGTAAACATAAACTGATATCGTTGCGCTGTAGCAAATCGATGTTGCTGATGATCGAGAGGATTGTGTTCTTTCATATGAAAAATGCGTCGTTTAGCCCGATCAAAACGAATCTCTTGAGTCTTGCTCACACGAGGGTTATGACTTCTTCGAAAGGAAAAATTATTAAGTCTCTTTCTGTATATATGTTTATTATTAAGGTGATTAATTGAATAACGATCATGAGCGTGAATCGTTTCTTCGTAAGAAATTCCAGATCTTTGGGAGTAAATTCTTTTTGTTCTGTGTGTATTCCAGTGAGTGTATAAAAGGTTAGCATGATAATAAGCCTTTGGGGTTATTGAAGGGTCTGTGATGTCAATATTTAATTCTTTTTTAGGGTTTTTAATATGTGTAAACATATCATTTTTAAAGAATGTAGGTTGATGTAAGACGCAAGCTCTTCTAAAGTCGGACATCAAGAACAGTGCTGGTACTTTACAAATACTTTTAGCAGGGGTATAATCAGAGAATCCGGGGGTTATATGATTATGAGAACAAGGAGTATAAATTCCAAAGTGAAAGCGATATCTTTTGTAGGTAAAATTAAAAAAAGTTTTAATGCTAATGTTACGTGAGTCTATTTTACAAGCACGTGATATAATGATCGCCTTGCGTGCAATTAATTTGTCTTGGATAAAATTAAAAAATTTTTGTTGTATACGCCTGGGTAAAACTCTTTGTAAAGAAAAAAAGTGCGTGAGCATAACACTAATCTGGTATTTGTCATTGGGGAGTTTACTTGTGTTGGGGTAACTAATCGGGGTAGTTTTCATGTGATAATCATTTGTATGGATCTTAAGATGAATTTCATTGGTGTTTGTGGTCTGATCGACAAGCTCAAAAAAGAAACTTTTTCATCTTCTGATTTCATAAATCTTGTTGTAACCAGCTCGATTAGGACGAGTCATGTGAAATTTGGAAAAAGAAACGTCAAGAGGATATTTTTTCTCAAGGGAAGGTAAAACGTTTAAGGACTTTAAAGATGACATAACTACAAAAATTTTGGTATACTATAATGAAAAAACTTTTTCCAAAAGCAACGGGATGTATAAGGAGTACTTTCCGTCGAAGTCACCTAGTGGTCCTCACTCCTTTTATACCAACGTAAAGGGTTAAAAGTTTATTTTTTAAAAAAATTTGTATATACTGCGGATTTCCATGAAATCTGACGGAAAGGGGGAAGAGTTTTGTTTTTTTCAGATTTTACGAATTTAAGAACTATCCAAGAACACCACCAAAAAATCTCCGGTAACGTGACTTTTGGCCTGCATTACGGCGTTATGCACTAACACATGAAAATAAACAGTGACGAATAAGGGTGCGACAAATATGTTTTTACTTACTTGAAAAAACTAAGTCCCTCAGATAAATATAAAAAGTGGAAATGCGGTAGGGTGTGACGGTTGTGATAAATAAAATGGAGTCACGTTACCGAAGGATTTTTGGTGGTGTTCTTGGAGTAGTTGAATTTAAGTCGTCTCCACGTGCATGATACGCAGTTCCCATTGAAATCTTATGCAGGAGTGGGATACCACATGTGATATAATTATATCACATGTGGTATCCCACTTACCCTAGATTATAGTACCACATATAATCTAAATATCACATATAATCTGAATACTACATGTAATCTAACTATCACATATGATCTAAATATCACATAAAATCTGAATACTACATATAATCTAACTACCACATATGATCTAAATCATATAATCTATATATCATATATAATCTAAAACATATAATCTAAATACCATATATAATCTATCAAGTCGAATTTAAACAAATCTACTGCGCCTATTGTGCCAGTCACGTGACTTTGCTATCCCGCAGGTTAGAAAATTCAAAATGCAAAAAATAAATTACATTATCGGTCAGAGAATTGGAGGTGCGATATGCATTACTATGGCCGCCCATTTGATTGCCAAAAAGTACGCCATCCATAATTATGCCAATTTTGCATCCCAAAGTTTGCATTATTAGAGTGTATTCATATTGTATTTCCAGTTGGTTTGAGAATTGGTGGTGCGATATGTATTATCATGGCCGACCCATTTGATTACCAGAAGTGCATCATTTTGTAACCCAACTATTGCGCCAGTATAAGTATATCATTTTCGCGTCCCAAAGTTCGAATTATTAGAGTGCATTCATATTGCCTTTGGTGGTATATTTTCAGACATATTTGAGCCAAAAGAAACATACCACTTACCTGAATTCATACTAGTGATAGGGTAGCCAAGTGCCAATATTTCCAAAGAAGCCTTCATATCATATCCGGATACATATCTAGGAAGGATAAGTCGCGAAGGCTATACCCACATATACCTGAGTACATGACTAGAAAAGTGTAACCTTTTGCCATTTTTATATAATATAATTCCGCAGAAGGCTACACTTTCAGATACATATCCATTTCCCTTTTATTTACGATTTATCTACTAGCTTGCTATATGTCTCTTTTTTTCAAAGGACAAAAAAATTAATTAAACATTTCAGAAATATATTGTGATATAATATCTTTACCTACTGTCAGCATGTATACCTCAACTATTTCCGACCAAACTGATCAAGGAACTCTCGCCCGCTACGACGGTGCCAACCCCGGTGAATACTTGAGTGACTCAGTTAGCTATAATAATGATTCTGATTGTGGATCAGATGATTATAATAACTACGAGTCTAATTATGAGTCCGATAATGAAAAAGCTCCCTGCGCTTCAACCAGCACTACTGAAGCTGTAAAAGAACGAAAGGTTAATGTGACATATACTTTGAGGCAAGAAAACTTCAATGATAAATTTTCCCCTAAAGATTTGCTAAATACCATTCGGGGGATTCTCTCATCATCGCCTAGAGATATGTCAGACGATAAAGGATCGTTGGATTGCCTTCCAATCTATTCGTTCCTCTTTCCAAATGAAAAAGGCTCTAGTTTATATAATGCTTATGACCAGGATAAAGTGGAAGATAAATTGGTTATCAAAATCGATCAAGACGATTGAGCCCCAAAGTTTTCTGTTGCAGACAACATTTCTGAAGTATATGGTCTACCTGGGATTCACGAATGTATTAATAGACAAAAACCTTTAAGAGCCGTGATTGACATAGATGCTTTGCAAGAAGATATGGAAGTGACTGGTGTTAAGGCACAAGAAGTATTCTTTCGAATCTGCCTATCTTTCATAAGAGCTTTGTATCGAATTCTTGATTGTAGCTGGGAGGATATTCTTAAAGGGTTAATAGTTACTACATCAACGGATCCTAACAAATGTAGTTATCATATTTTTTATGCACTAGCTTTCCTTATTGATCATCATGAACTCAAAGCGTTTACAGAATTAGCATATACCATAACCGGTGAAAAATTTGGCAAGTATATTGACAGAAGGTTGCCTGGTCAGAATTTCAACCTTCGCCTAATCAGATCAGCAAAAAAAGGTCAGGTGAAGCGCATTCTCCAATTCTCTCTAGACAATGACTAGAATGAACTCGATCACGTTAGGGTTCAACTGCCTCCTAGATTGGGACTTGAAGTAAGACCTCAGATGCTTAGTGAAGAAAAAAATAATAATCCACTAAGAATAATCGTGGGTCAGAATGTATTGCAAAAATGCGCGAATCTTATTTTGCAAAAGCATTCTAACTATCTTAGGGATTGGACTATCAAAGAAAAAGATTCGGAAAACTTCGTATATTTCAACCGGAAAGGTCCACTAGAATGTTCACTATGTAAACGTATACATGACAAAGATCAGCAGTGGTTCAGTCGTGTATATGCCAGCAATGGAACATTCATTGTAAAATGCTTCTGGCAAGATACTGATGAACTTAGGGAAGTTTTTGAATGCGACCCATCTATTGCAGAAAAAATTCAGCAAGAAAATAAAAATTCTCCACAATCTTTCCACAAGGTAAAGGCTCCGGGTTTCCCTAAAGCTTTCGTAAAAATGCCATCTTGGGTCAAGTATATTGATCCCCTTACAGCGACAGAAACATATGAGGAGAGATATGTAAGATCATTACCCAATGAAGGCGATATATATGTGAAGTCGCCTTGGGAAACAGGAAAAACATATGTTCTTAAAAATTTGGTTATTCCTGATGACGTAAACTTACTAGTACTGTCTACGCGCTACTCTTACTCGAATGCTGTTACTACAAGGCTTAATCATAGGTCATATTTTGATATTGATGGTAATATAAATCTACCCGATCACAAGAGGGTGGTATGTCAAATAGAGAGTTTACATCGTATTGTTAATAAATGCAAATGTAATAAAAAATGCAAATGCCTCCCAATCCAATATGACTTATGGCTTGATGAAATAGTATCTATAATTGCTCAAGCACAAAGTCGACTGGCGGGACAATCAATAGAGAGATTATATAAATTAATCCAAGAGGCTAGACAGATTATTGTCATGGATAATGATCTTACTGATCTAAATATTGAATGGATTAAGCCCCTTCGCAAGGATAAACCATTTTCAGTTATCTACAATACTTACCAGCCTCAGAATGGTAAAACATTCCGCTTGGCTCTTAATAAAGACGGAAACTGTGTTAGCCGAACTCTGGGATTGGGCTAGGCAAATATCTTCACTGCCTTCTGAGAAATGAATAAGCGCATCGCTCATGCATCTGTCACCTTAGAAAAGACATGCAAGGAATTGTTCGTGCTCTCAAAACTGATTTTCCAGAATTACGGATCAAGGAATATCATGGTAAATCTGATCTGGTGGAGAAGGCTCATGACTTTAGCAACGTAGAAGAATCATGGAAAGACGTAGACCTAGTTGTCTATACTAGTACTCTAAAGATAGGAGTGTCTTGCACCAATCCCAAGTTTGAACGAGCATTCTGCATCTTTAACAGTTATATAGAAACGAATGCTGGGACAAATCAGATGTTATTCCGCATGCGATATATCAAAGACTATATATGTCATATCGAACAAAGATCGTTTAATATTCCTATTACAGAGAAAGGATTATTCCAATGGTTGTTGAATGCCAAACGAGAATGTCTTCCCCGAGAACTTCAGAATAGAGGAATATTTCCTGACATAGACTCTATCATCCAGAATAAGGATGTACCAACCATTCGATTATGGGTAGCATTTATGTTGGAGAAATTCCGTTCTCAGAGATTATTTGGTTAGAGGATGGTTGATTTTCTTCGAAAAGCGGGTATGATTATTTCCATCATAGAACCTATTCCTAAATACGATGAAAATGTTACATTATTATCTCAAGTTGTAAAGTTGAATTCCGCTACTGTTAAGACAGAGAAGATATCAGCAATAACTAATGCTAATATCCTCGATCATGAGACTGCTGAATTATTGGAAAGCAAGTCGAAGAAGACTTTAAAAGAGATACGCTCTTTAGACTGGCATCATATTGCAGATTGTTATGAGATTTCATCTGAATCATTGACCGAAGAGTTCATCTCAAAGTATGGGAATTATAACCATATGAAATGGTTCAGAGCTTATAGGCAGTTACGAGATGCTGGTACTGACAACGAAACGGCTGTTGAGGCTATCACCCATAAAGATTATAGAGAAGATAGGCTTACAACTATAACCCGGGCTGAGAGGCATCGAATTTGTCTAGAATTATTAAAAATTTGTACACCAGCTAGAGATATCGATGATAGAGCCAGATATAAATCTGATGTTGTTAAGATGCGTCTGAATTCTCCTGAATCGATATCTCATCTCCAGGATTTAGTTCTCAAAATGGCTCGGGTATTTGACAATACAGATGCATCGCGTAGAGTTAAAAAATCAGGATTGAAAACAGATCAGGCAAAACTTGGTTTACTGAACTTAGCACTATATGCAACTTATGGGTTGAAATTTAAGGCTGTAGATAGGAGTCACAGGTATTACCGCCTAGATGGATCATTCGATACTAAAGACACTCCTAGATTACCTTCATATCAAACGGGTGAAGAAATTTATTGGGAAAATGGGCAAGATACTCGGTATGGATATAGTAAACTCCCACCTGATAAATTAATAGATAATTTTACTATTTCTAGCAAAGTGGACAATATGCAAATTACAGAAGATATTCAGGACTTATTTGATATATGCTAATACTATTTGGTATGTGTAGCCTTCTGCTATTTTATATAATATAATTCCGCAAAAGGCTACATCTATCGGTAAAAAAATCTATTCATGTATCACTCCGGCCAGAATACATAGTCACATACTTCTGAGATGCAGGCTTCTGCCAATTTTATATGTCTAATGAAATAATATTTTTTTTGCTTTCTTTCTGGCAGAAAATTCAGAGAGGATTCCTAATGCTCTGGGTCGAGCAATCACTAATCCCCAAAGAGGCCGAGACCCATATCCTCATCATCTGACTTGGAAACTGGATCTTCATAGATTCTGGGTGTCTCTGTAGCTGAGCTATTAATTACAACCCTATCACCTAGTATTTCGACTCAGATTGAATCCATTAAATCTCTTCTTAATGAATTTGCAAATAGTTGTAAAGAAGTGGGAAACAAGTATTCATGGATCGAAGCATTATTATCATCTGACTTGGAAATTGGAGCTTCAGGGATTTGGGTTGAAGGGCCTCAGCTTCATACTTCTGCCTCATCCGATAATTTAGCAAATGAAATCTACTCGAATGATCAGGACAATATCTCGTAGTAGAAAGAGTATATTTACGACAACCACTAACAAGGCAGGGTTTTTTTTCTATATTTTTTTTATATAATTTCCAGTGTCTATAATACCCGGTAGGGTCACAGCACTTATTTCCACAAATAGTATTATCCTTCTTAATATGTGCGCAAGTAAAGCGAGCTATGGTCAAAGACACTAAAGCAAAAGTATTTTAGGATATAAAACCCTCTTTCACTTTTAATTTCATAATAAAATATGTATTTAAATTAATCAGCATTATAATGAGATAAATTATCTTTTCATACTAACGTTATGGACATATCAGGCCAACCGTCAGAGCATGAGCCCGCTTACAAAAAAATATATAATCCCAAATCTAATCGCATAATAGTTATAAATGGATCAGTACATCATAAATTACTACTCGAAGGCTATATGCATTGGAGAGAAAGAAGGCTTTTGATTCTGCCTTTACATGAATTACCAATACTAAAAAGATATCTTTCTTTCATCTCCTATCGTATTTGGGGTATCGTATCAGAAAGAAGTTTACTAGCGGTGGTTAACGAAAAAATAAGCCTATTGCAGATTCTACTTAAAGCTAATTGGCATAATTTCACTTTATGTCAACTATTAAAATTATACTGGGAGCATAAAGAGACAAAAGTTTGGAGGAATGACATACTCATGAAATTCCTCTATCACCACAGGTCGAAATATAATATACCAGTCATCAATCAGTCATATAACTGATTGGTACCTGATTGGTAGCTGATCTGTTACTGATTCATTCAATCAGATACCAACCGGTCATCAATCAGGCATTTAGTTCAATCGGCTACACATCAGTTATATGACCGATTGGTGCCAATTGGTGACTGATTGGTGCCAGTTTAACAATCGATAAACAATCAGCCATCTGTCATCTATATTAGACGTTGACTTATTGGTTGCCGATTGGATATTGTTGATTATCAGTCATCAATCAGCTATCAGCAGGTCGAATTATTGTCAATCGGGTACCAATCAGGCATATGTCCGATTGATACCACACGTCAAATGACCAAAAACAGGCAAAAAAAATGGCTAGAATTGCATAAACTATTCGCAAATTTATATAAACTATTTACAAATAGTATAGGTTAATTCGCAAATAGCCAAAAACAGCTAAAAACAGCCAAAAACAGCCAAAAATAGCCACTGCTTTTCACGCCATTTTTTTTGCCAATTTTTAGTATTTCGACCTGTGTACAGATTACAGCTATTTGCGAAAATAATGGACCACCTAATTCATTTTTCGACTGCGTATGAAATTTTCATATGCAGTCATATGCATGGTAATATCTGCCCAGACCGTCAAACTCATTTTTTGAATTTTTCATATGCAATCATAAATACAAAATATAGGAAATCACCACCACCACAACACCACCACCATCACTTCCATTTCAAGATAATCATCGTCAAAAGTTGGCCAGAAGGTTGGCCAGAAGGTTGGTTGGAAGATTGGTCAGAAGGTTGTTGGTTGGAGGATTGGTCAGAAGGTTGTTGGTTAGAGGATTGGTCGGAAGGTTGTTGGTTAGAGATTGGTTGGAAGATTGGTTAGAAGGTTGGTTGGAAGATTGGTTGGAAGATTGGCCAGTACTTGTTAATAAAACAGTCTCTTCTCCTTCTTCAACATCAGCGTCATATCCATCATTAAAGGACTTTTCACTTTCCGCAAATTTCATCAAGTCATACTGCTGGTCTTGACGCTGGTCCAGCTGCTGGGTGACCTTTAACTTTCCTTATATCTGGAACGAGTCCAATGCGGTGCAAATAAAGGCGCCGCCTATACATGCTGCCCAAATTATTTTGGGATGCCATAATTATAATTTGGGATGCCATAATTCATTTGGTTTATATATAATTTACTATGTAAAGTGCTAAAATAATTTGGGATGCCATAATTGAATTTGGAATTTTACTTATAATTACGGCAGTCCAAAATAATTTGGGTGGCATGTATAGCGCCGCCAGTTCATTATTACAAAAATTATTGCCCATAACTCGCTCACAGTCAATATATTCACGTAAAAATAATCGTAACTTAAAATTAAAATAGTTAGTAAAATTAAATATAGTTAGAAATAGTTAGAAATAGTTAGAAATAGTTAGTAAATAAATTAAAAATAGTTAGAAATAGTTAGTAAAATTAAAAATAGAAATGGTAAAATTAAAAATAATAAAAGCAGGAAGAAATACTCACTGTGTTGAATCAAATTGATGATACAATTGTCGGTAGCGAACCATTTCCTGGTGAAATGCTTATGCCAAGTAGAAGTCGGATTGCTTTACCTGATAATATTTAACCGATTATTATAACAATTACAATTTGTAACAATTGCCGAAATAATAGCCAGTCCAAGAGATTCAATTGATTCAATTGTTGTGCCGAATATGGTTAATCAATTTGGCTGTGTTAGGATTTCAGCAGAAATTTTTGGATCAGCAATGGCATCCTGATACTTGAAAAATTCTAAAATTTTATCAAACGACTGATTTATTTCCTGGCCAGGTGCAATATTATTTTGAGCAGATTTCCGGTGAGCTTAAAACTCATCGATTAGCATTTATCAAATGGTACAAACCAGCACCAAACCAGCAAACTCGATTTTATACAAAAATTGATGAAAAAAGCTCAAATATTGAACTTTGGCGAAATGAATTTTATGATATAGCATAATTCCAATTCATTACTTATATAGCCGATTTGTATCTACTAAGTTTGTAATTGGTAAAAAGAATCCTATTGCATATAATGCTGTAATCCCAATAAATCAGCAATTTCACTTATGAAATTAATTTTATTTTAAAATTGTATTTTTTTTTATAGAACAAAAATATACAAAGTATAACTATGAATGTGAAAATTCTAACCACTAAATTAATTTATCAATTTATCAAAATATTGGATATTTAATTAACAATAGAAAATTGGACATTCAAATATAAATTTCACATTATTTAGCTGATTAATGATTAATCAAAAAATATAATTTTTTTTGATTTTTATTAATCATTATAATTGTTAAATAAATAATTGATATTAAAAATATATAATGACAGATTTCTTTCTTTCGTTAATGTAAAGAAAAAAAAATAAATATCGTTAATATGTCTGATAAATCTAATAAACCTAATCAATCTGATAAGTCTAATAAGAATATCGAAAATGTTGATGAAATAGTTGGTAAGACCGGCAATTGCAGATCATGCTTTTTTCCTTTTTTTCAAAAAATAACTAAATTTTTTTTAGCTCTAACGGAACAGGTTAAATACCTGGCACAATGTATAGAAAAGTTGACTAATTTCTAAGAGTCGCGAGAGTCGGCAGGTTTGCCCTACAGAATACCAGGGCCTTCCTGAATAGCTGGCTTTCAAGAAGATCCAGTTATTATAAGTTCAGATGACGATGTAAAAATAAAAGTGGAAAAAAATAATACTAAAAAATCTGCTGACAAAAAAGATACCAAAAAAAAAGTTTCTAATAAAAGAAAAAAAAAGCTCCGGTTCATTCATCAAGTAGTTCGTCAAGTAGTTCTTCAAGTAGTTCGTCAAGTACCAAAAAAAAAGTTTCTAATAGAAAAAAAGAAAAAGCTCCAGTTCAATCATCAAGTAGTTCATCAAGTAGTTCATCAAGTAATTTATCAGATTTAAGCGGTTTAGAGAGTGAAAGTAGTTCACATTTAGTTTTTTATTTAACAAGAAATGACATGCCAAAAGAACTTGACGATGCTTTGAGGGTAAATAAGGATTCCATCTGATCTGATTCATTTTGACTGAAATGACTACTTTACAGAAACCTTGAAAATTTGAGCGATGTTGAATTGATATGGTTACGATATAAATTTCATGTCATAATGGTATCAATTTCCGTGATAATATTGTTATAATGTTGATTCGATATCGTTACTTCATCACCATAATTTATCGCGAAAATATCGTGGCGATATCTATTTAAAAGAATATCAAATCGGCACAGTCTTGATATCATTACGATGTCAGTAATTTCAAAAAAAAAGATGTAGTATTTTCGAT